TAAATTGCTAATTTGAGATCTCTTAAAACCAGTTAGTTTAAAAAGGAAATTTCAAAACAAGATTACAAGAAACCAACTGACCTTAACTTTAAATGTGAAAAGGACATTTTTTCTCACTGTTTTATCTCTGTGGATATGTTTAAGAAAATGAAATAAAGCTCTTTATTAGGCACTAAAGATGTCTGTTCCTATTTTTACAATGTTTCCACAGTCCACTCTGTCCAAACTGAAAATATAAACTTCAATTTGGCTTAACAGAGGGAAGACAAAAACAAGAGGGCAGAGAAGTTCAGCTGGCGGAGGGTTCCCCGCTTCACCCTGTGATGAGCAAGACTAAAGGGCACTCTCTTCCTGGGGAGGAGCAAGTGCTTCGAGCAAGCAAAGCCAAAGCCATACATGCAAGGAGTGGTTCACTCTTGATTCCTAGGGCCCCTCTGTCTAGGCCACATCCACTGCAGGCTGCTGTACAAACCAGGCTCCCGTGGAGCTGCCCACAGTCAGGTTCTGTCTGCTGAAAACGCTATTATGAAGCTCTTTAGCCAATGGGTGGCGGGGGTTGGTGGGCTCTGCTCTCACCTGTGCCCACTGTGTGCCCTCCACCCACAGCGCTTCACATCAGGTGCGCTTCTAACCTTGCTCTTGAGGAGCCTGAGATGGGTCTGAAGAGTCTTCTGGGCTGACCCACACATATGCACAAGAGCTGAGAGCTGCCCGGTTCCTACTGATGACTCATGCCTGTGGCACAACAGGTCAGTGCACTTCTGTGGAATGAATGAGTGGGACAGTGACACTCAAAAGCAAGAGAAGGGGAATTCTGCAAATAGTTAAAAAGCAGTTGGCGGTTACTGAATGCATCCTCTAAGCAAATCCCTGCGTGCCTGCTTGTCTAAAGCTCCATCAACAGACCTACAGCTGGACAGAGGGTGACTAGGAAGTAGAATAACAGCAGCAGACCATTCTCCTGACACCAACTGCATCTAGAGTGTACAGCAGAAGCTTGTGATACTCTTTAAGGGAGGAGAGAAGGATATACGGGATGCTGGAGACAGAGGCCATCACTTAAGGACTAGCACTGCCAGGGGACTGCAGGAGCACAGGAGAGGAAAGCAAAGCCACACCCATGGGGGGCTGTCGAAGCAGAGGGGTCCAAAGAGGCAAGTATGGTCGCGCACAAGCAGCTCTCCAGTCGCAAAAGGCCAGGTCCACAGCTGTCCTGCTGCCCCAAAGTCCCTTCAGCCTGCTATATCTGCCTCTAACCTTTTTTTTTTTTTGGTGCAACCAAACTCAATTCTGTACGTTTTCATGTCTTGGCTTAGGATATAAGGGCTAACAGGGCCAGCCTGTTAACACAGCCAGGAGATGGGCATCTGCGGCTAGCTGCTGCCTCCTTGCTCCGCTCTGTGGTCTGGTAGAACAGCTGCATGGTGATTGTGTTAAAACAGAGAGACAAAAAGCAGGTATAGTTCTCTGCAATGTGAGCAGACTTCAAACACAGTTCAGTTTTGGGCTGAAGCATTTTCCCCCTTTGGGGGAGAGATTCTGGCACTCTTGGAATCCCAGGGACCAGGAGCAAGACATGATGAGCAATTGAAACGCAGCTCGGTGACGGCAGGTACAGCCAAGCCCAGATCTTTCTCCTCACCAGGGGTAGGAAACAGCCCAAATGCTACTCTGACTCTTTGCTTGCCTTAGAAACATTACAGCAAAAATGTCCACATTCTAAAAAGAAAGTCCTGCACTCTTGTTGCCCCCTGAGAACTGTGTGGATAGCTTTGTCTTAGAATTGAGCAAGGAAGTTTACTCTGATGACATTAGACATAGATGACATTATTTGTGATGTGGAGTGGACAGAACCAAGGACTAGAGGGGACAAAGGCCAACTGGGTTAACAGACTCACAAACGAATATTCAACAGGCTCTGATTCTTCATACTGGGAAAGATTCGGGGAGCGGGAGGAAGAGGTGAGGCCATCTCAGTGGACAGGCATGTGCAAACACACTATTCCGCCAAGAGTCAACTTCAAAAACTTGGTTGCTTGCAGTTGTGCTCTCAAATGCTTTGGGGCCTGAGGTCATATGATGCAATTTTGCATTTCAAACCACAGCTAATTGCAGCAGTAGTTATCATGAAACAAATAAAAAATAAAGGGAAAATGAGAGGTATTTTCCACATTTGTTCTGCTACAAGAAGATAGCAAAAATAATTCCCAACAAATGAGTAGGAGACCACATGAAATCAGAGAAAGAGAAATGCTGTCAAAAAGCCAAAGATAGGGGGGTGTGGCAAGGCTGTGGGACCTGCAATCTTTTCTTAGTCATTTCATGAGATCAATAAAATGGAAAGGTTGTAACTGTCAGTTTTACTTTATACACTGAGACATGTAAACAGGGTAGCTTTTTTTTGTTTTGAGACAGGAACTGCCTTATTGCTCAGGTTAGCCTTGAACTCATGACCTTCCCAGCCTAGCCTTCCAAGTAATTGGGATTCAGGCCTATGCCACAGCACCTGGTTTAAGGTAACTTTTTAAAGGCATCTTCACAAAATAGGACTTAGATGCAGTTTTTATATTATCATATGATTCGGCCCACATTTTAGTTCTCAGACTAGTAATTGATTCCTTCATCCTATAAAATATATTGATGCACACTGACCTGTTTGTCTTGTCTGATTTTAGGAGTACGTTGCTCGATGTATAATAATACTCCTTTAATAACTGAAGGCCTTCTTCATTTCTGAGAGCATTTTTAAACTTGCAGGGCTATTTTATCTTACAATAATACTCCAACCACAGTTTTCTTATGGTTAACACTTTCCCAGTAGATCTTTCCCTGACACTGCTTATATTTTCAAATTCCCTGGGATATTTATGCTTCAGGTAAACTTATTGAAAACAACGTATGTCATTTAAAAAGATGTTCAGTCTGAGAATGTCTTTTAACAAGCAGACTTTGTTTCCCATTTATTGTAATTACTGATGCTTTGGACAAACTACTACATCTTATTTGGTGACTTCCAACGTGACCTTTTTTTTTGTTGTTTGGGATTTTTTTTGTTTGTTTTGTTTTTGCTTTTTTGCTTTCATTTGTTTCTTTTGGCATATGGTTTTTACTCATCTGGTTTTCAGCATTTCTTTTCCTTCAAAATTTATTTGCTACCTCTATACTTCGAGTGGTTGTTCAGAAGTGTTTCAGGCAGGCCTGAGTTAACAAACCGCAAAGAAGCACAAAGCCTCGCATAGGCCTCTTGTAAGCAGCATTTCAGCCTCGCAGATGAGGGTGGGCTGGGCTCCAGTTTCTTCCTGCCTTAAACTGGTTCCAGATTCATCTTCTGTGTAAAGAGCTACATATTTCTCAGTTTCTTTGCTCACTGTTGATACTAGTTCCTTTTCACACACTTCCTTTGGTTCACTTAAATTTTATTCAAAAATTTCTGTGTCTCTGAATACTTAAATACGCATTGTTCTAGACAGGAGTGACAGGAAGCGTTCCTGATGCTGAGACTGGGAGGACCCAGCAAGAAGCTAGCCAGCCTTTCTGTAAGGTGCACGGGTTCCATGAAGGGAAAAGTCCAATAGCACCTCCCATCACATGGGCTGAGAATCAACACCCACTCTAAGAAACAGGCTGATTCAGAGGACAGGCTGAGTTGATAGCAGCTAAGGTACAGAAAGCAACTTAAGTGCTCGTATTGTTTGGTAGATTATGCAGGACTGGGGTCAGTGGTTGGAGCATCTCTTGGGAGGATGACTACATGCAATACAGCAAATATGGAGGATTTTCTTCTGTCTTGTCTTTGAAATCCAATATTGTTCTCACTGTTTTACTTTGTTTGATAGTTTTGCTTTATTCAGTATTCTGTTTTGTTTTTGGTTTGACTTTGCTATGCCTGATGGAACAGACAACTACTGTGAAGATAAAAAGATACACTATGATAGCTATTGTTGTTTACCTAGTATCCTACTTTGAAGTTCTATACCAGTTTTGCTGCTTTGTTTTGATTGACTTTGTTCTGTTTTGTTGGATTTTACTATCCTTAAAATAAAAATAAAATTAAAAGAAAAAAGTGTTCTAGTGGAGCTCAAATCATACTAGGTACTTTACATTCTTAAAGTAAATTTTTTTGTTTTTTGATAGTGTTGAGTGGTAAACTGTCTTGGTTGTGGTATGTAGATTACGCTCACTACTGAGTGACACACAGTTCTGCTGGTGCAGAATTCAAGCTTTACAGTTATTTTCCTTCAGGATTCCATTCCACTGCTGCCCAGAATCTGTGGCTACTGACAAGAGGTCATTGTCTAACATGTCTACAAAGTGTCACTTTGCCATTTCTCTTGTTTTTAAGACTTTGTAATCCCCTTCAGTTTTAATATAATTTGTCCGGGTTTAGATTGGTCTCACTTAGACAACTCCTTTTTAAAACAACCTTTCTCTACTTCCCTTTAACGTGTGTGTGTGTGTGTGTGTGTGTGTGTGTGTGAGAGAGAGAGAGAGAGAGAGAGAGAGAGAGAGAGAGAGGTGTTCCAGACCAGAAGTTAACACTATCGCAGAGCGGTAAGAGACTTGCTCTGGGCATTACAACCAGTTCTCTGGTCTCAGACTCCACAACCTCTTCTCTGAAACGCTGTATTCCTGGTTCCTGGTTCGTAAGTGCACACAAACAGACCTAATGACACTGATGCTGGGCCCATAACTATGGAAATGTAAGAACTATTATTCTCTGGCTGGGAATTGAAATATAGAAACTACTAAAACACTAGTATAATAAGTATGACAAAAACATTCAATATATATTTGTTTCAAGAATATCACATTTTACAAAGGTCAACTGACTGAATCAGATTGCTGCCAAGGCAATGACAACTTCACTCTAAACCTGAAAGTTTGATTTCATTGAATCACCTCTAGCAAAGGCTGAGCCATTTCAGATGTGGCTAAAACTGTGATTCAAAACCAACCACACAGGTATCTGGAGGAGAAAATGGTGAAAGCCATTATTTTACCTGTGCTACTTCTTCGAAGTCTTCATGGCGTTTCTGCAAAGCTCTCGCCCGATGCAGAGACTTTCCCACACCTGTGTGTTTGCTTAGAAATGCTTCTCCATGGTTCTCAATCCAATCCAGCACCTACGATGAAATTACAGCCACATGAGCATAACGACAATATCCTGCTTGTTCAGTGTTTAGCGTAATCCAATGAAGATACATTCTGTTGTCAAAATCCTGTAAGAAATAAAAAGCAAATTAGGAAAAAAATTGGAAGTAGTTCGGTAGTAATTTAACACACTTGATAATTATACCTTACATCAGCTTTCCCACCAGGACTTTAATCAGCTCTTACATTAAAAGTATAAATCTGTCTATGTATAAACATTACATGTAACAATGATTAAATTAAGTCTCACCTCATTTTATGCATGACTGAGCCACCAAAGTGACTTGGATTTTGTGTGACAGAGCCAGAGTCAGGCCACAGAGGGCCAATTTAACTTAACGTTTTTATAAAGAGTGAAAGCTTTATGACTGCAATTCAAGTTTAACTGCAGTTAATTTTTTTCTTTCTTTCCTTCAGAAGAGTCCAAGCATGTAAGTAAAACCTAAGAAAACAAAACACTTACATGCCTCACTCTCAGTCTTGGAGGATAATTTATTCTACAAACTAAGATGTTACAAAAGCCAAGCATTCCATGAATTTAGTTACTTAAAAGTTCTTGTTAACTGAAATCAACTACACGCGAGAAAAAAGCAAAACAAAGTAGGTGAAAATATCATTTTAAAGTCCATAGCTGGGAATGAGTAGTTCACTGGCTCTCACACTTGAGAAATCACAGAATATCTAACAAAATACTTACACTACATCAAATGCACACTCACTTTGTCTCTCCTGAAGGGGGCAAGAAAGCCAAGTCAATGATGCCTTTGAAAATATTTAGCTGAAACATTTTAAATATTTAAAATACATTTATTAATGTGCTGTGAAAGTACTCAAGGCTCACCCGTACTTTCCGTGTTTGTAGCTATAGTACTGTCTCTAGTGTGTTCAGGCTAACAAAATCCCTTAGAGTGGATAATTTGGAAGCAACAGAAGCTTCTGCTCACAACTCAGGAGGCTAAGTGCAGGCCGAGGCACCAGCAGATTTGGTGTCTGGTGAGGGCTCATACCTTAGAGTTGGCATTTCTATGGCCTCACAGGGCAAGGGCTTCCTCAGGCCTCTTTCATGGGAGCATCACGCCCATTTATGAGGCAGAGTCCTTACAACCTAAGGCCACAGCTATTCCTACACCACACAGGACACCAGGTTTCCACAAGTGACGTTAGAGGACACACAGAGACCACAGTGGGCACTAAGCACACAAATCAAAATGATCTTGGACGGAAGACCAAAGGGGGAACACCCCGCTAAGCCAGTGGTCTAGAGGGCAGCTTCAGCTCTGCCAACAGCAATTAAAGCAGGCTTACCTTATTGCTCACTGACCTTAAAAAGTATCGTTTTCCCTTTCTGAACTGAACTACCAAGACATCAGTTGTGCGGACAGAATCTAGACAAAAGAGGCCACTGGTAAAGACGCGAGCCCACCTTGTTCTCCAACACTCCACACAGTGCCCTTCCATTCAAGGCCTGACTCAGACACCTTTTCTACGCAGGGTTGTAGAAAGTTAATGCTACACATAACAGAACTCTCACAAACCTCTGGCCTGCCACGGAGCCCTGCAGAACTGGCAGCAGCTGCTATCAAGAGAGGTGGGGACAGAGATGGTCAACTGGCAGAGGGTGCTCAGGCCCAAACTACGTATCTACTTCAGGAATATGGTTCCTCTGCAACCACATCAGCCTCTGCCCATGGCCTGGCATCACACCAGCAGAGCAATTCTTACTGGACCCCTCCCTTGGTTTTCCTGATTTTCCCTCTAAAAGCTCTCTCTTTCACCCCTTCACTGAGGCATCCTGCACTCAGAGAACCTGACTGTGTTCCTGGGCAGTTCCTGATCCACCCTCTGATCAGTGCCATGCAGGAGTTGCCGGGATTCAGTGGTATCTTTTAAAGCAGATTAATATTAGGCAAATGCACGACACATGTGCCATCGCCACCCACAGACCAGAACCTCTGGCTGCCTTCCATGTAATTTTAGGCACCTTAATGACACAGACTATAAACACTCCATTGCTTATTAATTAGTGCACTTGGCACACTGGTTTTCTTTTGAGATTCCCAAGAGAGGGGGAAGTCCTTGGGTGGTGCTGTCTTCATCATTCGACTTCAAAGCAGACGCAAGTGGCTGATTGTTTACAGGAGTCTCTTACTACACACACTATAAAAAAAGGTTCCAGTTCCTCCTAGAGAAAAGTCTCAATAACCTCAAGATCTCAACGTCTTGAAGAATGGATGCATTTAACAGAATGTGTCTCTGGACATAAGGCCAATACCACACAGATTACAAGTGTGAAATATTTTAAACTTGAAAGGAATCTAGAGGCATGTAAGTAATACCTATACGACACTTTATTTCCTGTAAGATCTTCACGAAGGGCTAGAGAGACTTTTAAAAATTATATAGCATATTCTATATGTACCTTAACTTAAATAAATTAATACACCAGTATGTAGCAACATAGTGATCAAAACTAACTCTACAACCTAAAATTCTGTGGACAATTTCAAAAAGCAAAAAAATAAATTAGTTGGTAGAAAGAGAAGAAGCAAAATAGAGAATTTTACAAATAATAAAAACTTGCATTTCAAATATAAGAGACACATTACAGGATGTATAATTTGGAAACAACAGCTATTATGACCCAACAACCACTTGGGTTACAATGGACCTCTCAAACAAAACTGTAAATATCAGATGAAATTGTGTTTCTAACAAATATAAAAGTAATTAAATAAGAAAATGTAAATTCTGAACACTGAAAATAGAAGACAGACATGAATATTCTCAAACGAAACCTCCTACAATATTACTTCCTTCATAAGTACACACAAATTTCCCAGAGGACAAAGGATCCTAACACTTGAAAGACATGCTTGTGAACTCCTTCAATCTCACACCTAAAAAGACTGGCCAAACGGGAGGCTTTATTTATCATCCGAGGTCAGACAGCTGCCTCTCCAATCTCGGTCATGGACAGTGCTGCTGGCTATGTCCTGTGACCTCAACTCCAAAAATAAGGCATGCGTAGGTTTTGTGGCTCTTCTTCCAGATTTTAGGAAAAAGGCAAAAGTGATCCCTGTGGGCTTGCTGGCTCAGAGCACAGCAAAGCTAGGAGGCCAACGCCATCCTTCTCTCTGCTCTTTCTTCTGTAAGCAGTGTCCTCTAATGGAAACAACGCCAAGACGCAAAGCCAGTAACTAAGATACAGATACTCAAGTTACAGGAAATCATGCAGATTAAGCTTAACTTTCTCCTAATTATTCTCATTTCTTATCTAATCCTTACCATGCCATCTGAGCGCCTGCTGCTGATGCAGGCATGAAACATGGGTGGGTACACTCCTCATTTCCATCTAACGGGTGCAACCAGACGGAAGTCCTCAGTTCCTTATGAAGGAATAACCTGTGGACTTGAACACGCAAAGTCTGGCCTCATGCACATCCTCCTAAACTTTAGCATACACTGCCTCTCCTCAGACTTGGCACGACTGTCATATAGGGGTTACAAAAAGGTAGGGAAGAAAAGACTTCTGGTTTTGTTTCAGAGCAGTTCAGTCTGTTACAGAAAACCTCTAAGAAAATGACTGTTGAAATGTATGGCAAACCTGTTGAAAAAGTATCACCAACTCTACTAAGGACTGGCTGCAGGCCAGCTTCCCCCAACTCACACAGCAAAGCTCTGACCATCTTGATAACTTATCTAACATAAAGGCTTCTGTCTAAGGCCCTACTACTTAATACTCATGGGGGGGGGGGGTTGTTGCTGGGGATTGAACCCAGGGCGATCAACACACAGTGAGCTATGTTCCAGCCCTGACCACATTTTGTGGATTCCTGTCTTCAAGTAATTACCAAGAATGTGTGAATAAATAACTAAATCTTCATTGAAGAGGAGGAATGGTCTAACAAAGCCCACCTCACAACAACATGCCCTCTGAAGATCAACAGGGTATTTTCCCTTTCAAATGCAGAGGTATTTTTCAAATACTTGAGCAGTTTTATGCAATCACCAAGCAACATGCCACTGCCAACTGGGTCACACCAGCAGTACTAAGTCATTATTGAGCTCTGTACTTGGAAGGGCAAGACAGACCCACAATTCCTTGTTCACAAAAACTCTGAAATTTCAAATACTTTCTCAAAACTTACTTCCAAAATTCTCAGCAATAAAACATGACCCAAAGGTAACTTATAGTCTCCACCGATCCCTTCAGAAGGATTCTGCATACATCCGGCTTTGGAAATAAGCATGCATTTGACTGCAGCTGGAGCAGGGCTGCCCAGACTCCACTAGGAAGCTGCATGCCCTGCACTGCTATGGTTCTAAACTTCTACAATTCTCATTTCCAAATCACAGCCACTCCCAACAGCTATAAATGTACAAAGTATACTTTTATTATTGTCCGTTTTAAGCTAGAAAATGAGGCTCACAGAAGTTAATGTGTCCCAAAACAGATGCAGGTCTTCTCAAGGCCAGTTGTAGCTCCTAATCCCCAGGTGACACAGCTGTCTACTAATTCCACACGAATGGCTTTGCCATACTTCTAAGACTGTGGTCCTAAAATCCAGGTTAAGAAATTGGACATAAAACCACCAAGTACACACCAGGTGAATATCCAGAGGAAAATATACAAACATTTGTCAGTTTTTCAGCAATCATTTTAAAGAGACAACATACAATGAATAAGCAAGTCTTCTCTATCATATTAATGACAATCCCTTCTAATCACGTTTTATGTACATAAAAATGAAAATAAGCTCATTCTATATTGTTTCAGAAGTACATGAAGCAAATGAAAAACAAAAGTAATTCTAAAATACTCTGAATTTGTTTTTGTTTTATACAAAATCAGTTTTCCAGTTACAAAATATTAACAGCATCCTAACCACTCTACATTCTATATATAACCAAAATACTAAGTAAATCTGGTTTCATCTGAGATATATCCATGTTCAACCACTACTGCTTTGAAACCACATCCAAATGTAAATATTGCATTCTGACCTTTTCTAACTATCCAATCAATGGTATTTAAGAGACATAACAAAGGATGACTGATAAGCAATATCATTTCAAATCTGCTAAAAGTAAGCAGGTAAGCAGGGCTTTCCCCTAGATAATGTCAGTTTTGGCTGCTGGTGAAACACTATTGTGAGGATGCAGCATTATGATATTAATGACATTTCTATACAAAGGGAAGAATCACAAATGAAATGTGAAGAGTAAAAACACGCAAGTTTACATGAGTGGAATTCACACAGGTACCCTATCTTACACTGGCTCACAGTCTTTTCCTGGGGCTTGGAGCATACTTTATTCCTGAAGGCAGTGTCGTGGTCATGCTCTTCCCTTCTAGTGAGAGTGGAACCCCCATCTACTTCAAGCCACTGATCCCTGAACAGAGATGCAAGCAAGGTGTGGGCAGCTGTGAGGAGGGCCTAGGCCACAGGTCAGTGCGACAGAGCTCTTCTGCCCTGTCTCAAAATGTTTAGTCACTCAGCTGTGCTGTTGGCTGTGGATTCTCAATGTAAAGCTGGCTGAAAGCCCACAACAATACCCATGCCACAGCCTCAACACTTGGCTGCCCTGAGATTTCCTCTGCCAGCTTAATGAGTAATCTCAGTCTCCCATAAAGTCTCAGGATATGAGCAACATGTAGACAAATTTTCTGCAGGAGTATAACACACATGGCCCAGACTCCTTGATCCCAACTTAAAATAACTGAAACCTCCCCATCCTGGTCTTTATTGTCTGCATTTCTATCTGCATTCTGATCTGAACTTGGACCACAATCTCCCATCGAGCCCAGCTTACAACATTCTAGGGTTGCTTCTCCAGCCAGCATCTCCAAACCTGTCCAGCTCCTCTCATGAACCACTCTGGAAGGCCTCTAAGCTACAGCAACAGCCCCACTCTCAATACCAAAATCTATCTTAATTACTTTCTTCATGGCTGAGGCACAACTTGAGGGAGACTGATTCTGGCTCATGTTTTGGCCCCCAGTTGGCTGGTTCCAAGGCAGGATGGCATGGCAGAGGTGCCTGGCGCAGGAACAGTTGCTCCCAGCATGGTAGATGGAAAGCAGAATGCACAGGGAGGAGAAATCCTTCCGCCACACTCTCCATTGACTCATTTCTTTCAACCAGACAACAAGACAGCTGTAAGAAACCAATCACTTCCCCAAAATCACACATGAGGTCTGAGGGAACATTAAGACACTCATCATACATTGAACAAAACTGTTTCCAGTCTCACTGTTTGAAAGTTCACTTTATATGCTTTAATTTTGTAACTTGAACAACTATTTCTAAGATAACAATATGTAACCTATTAACTAGTGATTTCCTATTGTTTATTTTTTCTGAAATTCTGCATAACTTGTACCCTTTTTCTGTTTTTTTTTTCTTTTTCTCCTTAAATAAAAAAAAAAAAAAATAAAGACACTCATCATAACGTGGCAATAACCTGGAACCCAAGTCAAGCATAATGGAGAGATGCCTTTTACTGGCTAAAGCTCAGCAGTCCTAATAAAATTGTGGAGTCACTTCTTTATAGACCCGATGTCTGGTTCTGTGTGTTTTCCAAGAAAAAAAAAAAAAAAACAACACTTGAAATTCTTCAAACTTTTCCTCTGTACTTTTTGATGCAGCACTCATTCAATGATTTCCCCCCTGGAGATCAAGCTCACAATCTTGTGCTTGCCAGCATGGTGTCTGAGCCACTGAGCTATAACCCTGGCCCTCATTCAGTGATTTTGAAACAAAAATGAGCATATATAAGAAAAGTCTAGGATGAAGTACATTTTCTTGATCTTTGTTTTTTTTTTTTCCTGAGATAGGCTCTATTTGGCCTAGGCTCAAAAGATCCACTTCAGCTTCCTAAGTTTGCATGCATCACTGCACCTGGCTTCTTTGATCATCTTTAGGGAATACCAATTAATAATCCAACACCAGAGTGGAGGGAATTCTTTCAGATGCGATTATGCAGGGTGACGCTCACACAGATTTAGAAGTTTCCCTGCCTGACAAGCTTCTTTTGGGGAGTCAGTCTGCTTCAGAAAAGAGCTACAGGAGCTATCCACTTCCTTGTGTGGTACTAATTAAATCCCAACAGTCCAAGAAGAGCCAGATGAACTGAACCAGTGAGGCAGAAAAAGCAGCCAGGGAGCTTTCTGCCTTGGGCCACTCCCATGACTATTACCTCAGCATTCACTCATTAATTCAACCACTCACTCAATGACGCTCCCTAATAGTAAGCATACCGCCATGGAAATGTATGTATTATCAGGCTGTCAGGAAACATGGCACAGAGGGCTCATCCAAGTTAATGATAAAGGCTGCCAACTTGGTGAGGCCAGCAGGGCTGCCGCCCTCCTACCTGTGCTCTGTTTTGGACGTGGGTTAAGTGTGACCTGCAGTTTCAACGACCTCCCCTACAGCCTGCCCCAACTCCCATCCCAAGCTCCTCTATAAAAATTGTGGAAAATTAGCTGCTGAACAAAAACTAAAGATATTTTAAAAGTCAAATTCCCCATGCCATTCTCCCACATCCAGTTCCGCAGGGTCAGATGTCTTTCAAGTGTTTCTCAATGACCATTTACTCTTAAGACTGTTTCCTAGATTGTTTTCCTCTCTCAATAATGTTTAGGTGCTTTTTCATTACCCAAAATAACCAAACAAAAAATACTTACGTACCTCTAGTTGGCTTTCTGTTTTTGTCTCTACAAATCTGCTTTTTGCTGGTAACATCTTCTAAAAGTATCATTACTGTTTTTTCTATTTATCCTCAGCTTATTTCTCCTTTGCAATGCTTACTATGGTACAAACTTCCCTTCTTGTTAGCAATTCCACTCCTTGAGACACTTCCTCAGAAGCACACTGTGGGTTCTGACAGCCTATTGTTAAAGTATTTACATTGATTAGCCTCAGTTTTGCTCTTTGCTACACAGCAATTTGTGAAACAAGTCAAAACCATCCCAGATCGCTCATCCAGAAGAAGAGACTTTCCCTAATGAGCAGCACCTATCTTCTTGTGAATAAGATCATATATATATATGATGTGTAACACAAAGCACTTTCTACTCTGACATCCCACATAACCTACTGAGGGAAAAAGCTGCCTTCTAAGAACATCCTACTAAGGATCACAAGTACCTTTCCACACATTTGCTGACTGCAAAGGCTATGGAGCTAAGTACTGGGTGACAAATCAGATAGCTACATTCCGCAGGCTGTTCTGAAAGGTTTGCTTCACTATGTCTTCCCCTAACCCTCAGGCTAACAGCTTTCTCTTGGCCCGGAGAAAGAGGACACCCTGCTGCTGCTTCCTCAGATGGGGAAAAAAGTCCCCTTCAGAAAGTACACTGGTTTATGGCTGTTATGATACTTGATCCAAGGGATACGAGTTGGTAGGAAAGTTCCTTAATAATTACACTTCAACTATTAACATGGCTTGGCTTGAGAGTTTTTGAATAATTCAGAAAAAACATTTGTGATTTCAACCAGATCATTTCCATTCTCTCAATAACCCCTCTTTGAAGCCAATGTTCTTATATTCTTTCCCTGGGAATAGGTTTCTTGATCTAGATCATCATTGCTAAGAAATATGAATAACATCAAAATGATCATTCCTAAGGCACTCTGAATATGTAATTTTCAGAGAACTCAAAAAATAGAGCATAGCATGTAAAAAGTATAAATGATAGCACCATTAAAAATACTTTGATTTTACCACATCTACATTAAGTGAAGTATGATGGTCAGTGACAGGGAGAGCCTTATGTTCATCAGAACATAGCATAATTCTAGCATCACATCCATTCACCAGAGATCCTACTCACCTTTAGGCAGTTCCTGGGGAGATGACAACTGAGAGCCTGCAGGCCTCAACGAGACACAGGGCCTCACTAGTGTTCTGGAAGAAGAGTGGTTTGACCTGAGACACACCACCAGGGCTTTTTGGATGCCACGGGCATCCTGATATATTCTAGAATTCTTCACCCTCAGACCTGGTACCCTGGTCACTTCTTACTTTCCACTCTATTTTAGGCAAGGACCTGAATAGCACCTTTATTTACTACCAAAGCTGTATCACATTTTACGTGCTGCTACAGCTTTGGTCCTCAACAGACCTCTTTTTTGCAGTGAGGACGTAAGTAGAATGGGACTTCACTTATTTTTGTAACAACAAAAGCAGGTGTTAACTGCTTAGAAATGAAGCCATAAAAGTCTACTTTTCATTAGGGAGACAACTAATTATTAAGCACCCACTGTGCATTATCTAACAAGTAGGAATAAGGGCATTACTAGCTCACTGCTTAAGGAATCAGGAAGCAGACCAAGCTAAGTTGTAACACACCAGCCTAAGCACCACCAGTATTATGCTCACAACTAACTGCAGCTGGGAATGGTCTGTTTGGGCAGCAAAGCTCACAGGTCCCCCTGTGTTATCTTATATGTTCTGTCACAGGAACAAGGGCCGACAGCGGCCTGTGTGCGCATCCCCCTGCAGTCAGTGAAGAAGCCCCTGTCCTTGCAGTCCACTCCTCCAAGACACAGACAATCCCCAGATGCCAGTGCACTCCCCAAAGTTGGCTCAGGACCAGCCATTCCCATGAAGAGTGCAATGGGAAACTGACCTGCTGAACGTCCTGCTGGAAAACACACAGCTGCAGCCTCTGATGGAGTCGGACTTTGCGGTGCTGCCAGATATTCTCCAGCTGCCGCTGGTGGTGCAGCACCTCGTGGATGACGTCCAGGACGTGGTGCACGGCCTTAGAGTAGTTGGCAGAGGCTGTAAGGGAATCGGAGCTGCCAGGAGTCAAGGGTCGCTGGAGCTTGTCAAGGAGTGACTTCCCATCTTGGCTCACCTGCCCACAAAGTAAATGGGTGATTATGCCAGGTGCATGGCTTTGCCCAGGCTGGGCTGCAGATGCTATCCTCAGCGTATGTGTGTACTGGAACATATACACACTCATACGCACACACATCCCAACCACAATCTTACTCAAAGTCTTACATTTTATACAGAATAAGACACAAAACACTCTTTCAATATCTAGTAACATCAGAAAACCAAATGCAGGGGCTTTCATGATCATATAATATGGTAATATACTATTCTCAATGAATACACATTCTATTTGACTTTAATAACACCAATCAGCAAACCTAAATAGCCAGCCTAGTGTGGTGGCACACACCTATAATCCTAGCACTCAAGAGGCTGGGGCAGGAGGACTGCCCGGAGTTCAAGACCAGCCTGGGCTACGTGAACTACACAGTGAGACCCTGTCTTAAAAATCAATCAACTAACCAACCAACAAACAACAACATCCTAAATTGACTGCTGGCATGTCTGTGGATTAAAATTGAAAAGTAAGAATTTTTTTCTTGGGATTGTATGGTGGGAACACAACAGATTATCACCATGGAGTAATACTTTAATGCTGACTGTCAAAATCTCAGTTAAAAAAATTTAATAAGGGGCTGGGGATTTAGCTCAGGGGCATAAGCGCCTGCTTTGCAAGCAGGCAGTCGTGAGTTCAATCCCTGTTACCAATAAAAAGGAAAAAGACAAAAAAAAAAATTAATAATCTAGCATTAGACAAAGAACATGTGCTGAGGCTTTCTGGTCTACTCAAAACACAGTATTACTACACAAACATGCACGCACACGTGCGCGCACACAGACACACACATGCACACGTAAGTATGTTTGGGGGCACACACCTATAATCTCAACACTCCAGGAGGCTGAAGGGGGACTGCCAAGTCCAAGCCCAGCCTGAACAACTCAGTGACACCCAGTCTCAAAAAAATTAAAGAGAGCTGGGAAGGCAGTTATGAGGTTTGGTGGAAAGACCTTGGGTTCAATTCTCAGTACCACAAAAACAAACAACACTGTTTTGTTACATTAACTTTACAAAGTAATTTTTATTAAAATGCTAACAGTTGTTACAAAAAGATTTTAGTGTTATGGCTGTTAATTATCAAACCATAATCAAACCAAAGAGTGTGGACTAACCAAAGATAGAAGGAGAGCAGAGGGAAGAATACGGAGAGAAAGCAATTATGTGTTCTTCACATTCATGACTCTCAAGATTTACCAGTCATTAGGCCAAAAGCAGTGGGAGAAACATGACCTAGTCAGACAGCAAGGGTGCCTAGTGGGTGGCGTCCCCTGCTGCGTGAGGCAGAGACCGTGTGGTGTCCTCTCCACCATCGTCTTCCTGTCCACACACCTGCAGATCTAAAACCTGCCTGCGCTTTTTAATAATTCAAAGGGAACACACAGGAGCCCAGCTTACAACCATGAGTGTGAAGTGATGGGGAGTGGCGCAGCTGACCGTCGGCCTCTGCAATCCAAACCAGAGGTGGAGGTGGCCGCCAGAACTCCTTAACCTCCGCCTTCAGCCTTGGTACTACTGTGGCAATGCAGGGAAGTCACACTTATTTACACAAAAATAAAGATTTTACATGGTACAGAATAACCAGAAGAAAACTAATGAAAGACACTGTTGAGTATACAGCAGCCAAATTAAATCATATACAGTATATTTTAAGTACTAAAACAATTAATAAAAGTTTATGGTATGTGATATAGTTCTGAATAATTATCAAGCCAGGTAAATAAAATCAATTACGCCTTCTCTTTTTTGGTTTGTTATATTTTTGTTTTTCAAGACAGGGTTTGGTCTTGCTATGTAGTCCAGGCTGGCCTTGAAATCATTATGTAGCCCAGGCTGGTCTCAAACTTCCAGAGACCCTCCTGCCTCAGCCTCCTGAATGCTGAGCTTACAGGTCTATGCCACCATGACAGGCTTCAATTACACATTCTGCTTAATGTTCTGTTTCTGCCAGCACGCTGGAAGGCTAAGGCAAGAGGATCACAGGTTTGAGACCAGTGTAGGCACTTAGGGACTAGTAAGGCCCTGTCTCAAAATAAATTAGAATTACAACTTAATGCCATGGCTTTGAGTTCATTCCTGAGCACCACCAAACAAGTAGAAAAACCACAAAAACCCTCTGTCTAGTTTTCCTGCCACTCCAGAGCTGCCCTGCCAGAGAAAACAGGTGCCTTCATTTTTAAATAGAAGGACTTTTTTTCATGATTTTAGCTCATTTTTCAGCCTGCTCTTTGTTTTCCTTAGAATATAGGACTTGGGGACTTGATGGGTAATCAAAATTAGTTTTATAAAGATTAACATTTTATAAATCTATGAACGAATGTGCTATAGTATCTAGAGAGCTAAGAAAAATGCAAGCACTAAATAAAAGCAAAGCAAAGCAATTTGAGACAATTTAATTTTTTTACCTATCAAAAGTATGTTTCTTCCTTTTTTTTTTTTTTGGTAGCAAGGATCGAACTCATGACCTTGCACTTACCAGGCGAGTGCTCAAGCCACTGAGCTATATCCCTGGCACTCTTCCTAATATTTTAAGGTGAAATTTAATTGCTAAAATTGCAGATGGGCCTGCAAAGTAGATTTCTTTCAGCTATTCAGCTTCTCATTGAAAACCAGATCAGTGTAGCTTTGACCTCCTTTGACACCTCTACTGAAATTACCAGAAAGGAAAAGCCAAAACAGGAGCCTGTAGCAGCAACCCAGCTATGTGTACCTGACCTCTGTGGATGGCACTTGGCTTTGGCTTTTGTTACTTCTGTATTTCAAACCCTTGCGAGGCCTCCACTGGGCTCTGGGGCAGGGAGAATTACCACTGTCACGTGCGCTTTGGTGCTGACGCCGTGGCAGAAGTGGATGGCAGCATTCTTCACTAAGGTTTTACGTATGCCAACGGCAACTGCACTCTTCACAACAGCTTTCAAACAAGTGCTTTATAAGCGATGCTGCAGAAGGAAATAAGCTTCCAAGTACATCACAGGTGGTTTCAATAAGGTTACTACTGAGGTGATTTATTTTGCTGGTTTCTATTAAGTAAAAACACTAACCAGGCCAGCACCATTTATACAGTGCCAGAAAGACAAGCTGGCCAACTTCACAGGTAGCAAGTCAGAAGGCCTTGCACACTGAGTCAGTATATGCAAAGAAAAACTAAAGCCTGAAGTCACGAGAATCAGGCCAGGCCATGTGGCACTTCTCACTTCTCCTGCTCTAAGACTGCAGCAGCCAGGACCATTGGTGGACACTCACTACACGGGCTCACTTGAAATTCTGACAGTATTTAGGAGATAGGGTGTACTGAGAGGAAATCACTGTCATGAATTTAGCATGCTAAAAATCTCGTACATGAGTGGCTAGTTAAAATAAAATATTGAAAATGACTGCTCCATAAGCTGTCTGTAAGCCACAGGTCACCTCGGGCAGGTGTAGTCACTGCTTCCCTCTCACACAACCAACTGCAACAAACAGCATGGACCCAAATCGAGCAAGCTGCAGCAAGAAGTGCTCGTGAAGCAGGCATGCTCCTGTCACTAGAAAATCAATAGGAGCAACATGAGACAGGCCTAATTAAACAGCAAAGCAGTGCTTGGGTCTTGGAAAAAAAGTTAGGATGGTTTCCCACTGCAAAGTTACAAAATCAGAGACAAGAAACTGTAAACCTAATTTAAAGAAAAAAAATTGTATGAAACGGGGAGAGAAGGAGGAAAAAGGATAAGGGAGGAAACAGGGAAAGGAAAAGAAAAAGGCCGAGCCAGTCCCACTTCTGAACACTGCCACATCTAAACGGCCCTACATGCAGGCAGATGTGAAGCACAGGGCGAGGGCTCCACGTCCATGAGACACCCAACTCTGCAGCAGACCCATGGTTCTTTGGAGCAAGGCAGGAAATATGCTCAATGTGGGGTCTGCAGGTCATCCTCACTAGGAGTCACTAGGTGCCCTGGGTTTGAGTCACCACTCAGGGAAGAATACAAAAAATTGCAGTTTTAAACAAAGTTTGAAAAACAATGAATTAGGAAACAAACAAACTTAACTAAAACAGTTCTCTGCTGAAGAAAATGAGGAAGTGATACAGTGAGTGGCCAGGCTGTCTAAGGAAGTGGAGAGTAGGGGCTGGGAGGTAGAGAAGCCACACAGAATGGCTGGAAGACTAACTGAACAAAGAAGTTAACAATCTGATGACAACAGAAGCCAGGCTTCTTGCTGTCTGAAAAAGGAAATGGCTGCCTTCTATTAGATGCAGGGCTGTTTAGATAGTACTGAACTAGAAATGGAGGAACCAGTACAAATACGTTTTAAAATATATACATATAGATGTTACAACAGTTTTACATGTGTAAGTATTGCTGCACATGGAGAGATGGATACGTGGGTAGGCACAGCACAGATGCATGGATAGATGGGTGGGTGGAGAGATAGATGGATGGATGGGCAGAGGAGTATGTGGGTGGGTGAGTGGGTGAATGACTAGATGAGTGAGTGGGTGGGTGGAGAGATGCAGTGTGTGGATAGACTGGTAACAGGTGGATGATATACTTGATCCTGGGGGTGAGCAGGGAGAGCACAAAATAAGCCTGGAGGATTTAGTACATTAGGTAAGTGAGGGAGTACTCATAGGATACGATCAAAAGCACCCACAGAGGAACTCCCATTGGCCATCTCTAGCCAATTTAGGCATCAAAAATGTAACGCCAGACCATAATCTACTGAAGATAACAAGACTTCATAAGAAGCCAGATGTAGTGGCACAAGCCTATAATCTCAGCATTCAGCAGGCCGAAGCAGGAGAATCACTGTAAATTCAAGGCCAGCCTAGAGCACATAGTGATTTCAAGGCCAGCCTGAACTACAAGCCAGATCCTGTCTCAAAAACAAACAAACAAACAAACAAACCACCCAAAGATTTTATAAGAAGGAAGACAGGGAGAGAGGAAAGGGGGTGGAAGAGAGAAGGAGGCAGAGAGAGGAAGAAATGTTTCTACCATAAGACGGAAAGCCATCTACAAAGAAGTGATGAATATGGGTGACTGTCGTTAGAATTCAGGTGAATATGAGCAGAATCCTCAGTGAAAGCTAAGGTTTCAGGAAGTCCAATGAGAAAGAGAGATCAGTGTTATGTCTCTCTCCCTCCCCGCCACAAAATGCACAGAAAAGACAAGTTTTTGAAACAGTAACTGACACTGGAGACACTGTGACGCCAAGCTGACGCCCTGCCAAGGCTCACACATGGGAGGGCCTGCTGTCACGACAAGGGGAAGAACAGGACCACACCGTGACAGGGCGTATGCATGGTCCTGAGGCAGACTGAATGCACTTGGTAGGCAGAGAATCAGGCTAAGAGTGCAAAGGTCTGTACTTTTCAAGATTATCAAAGACATAAAGGCAGGCAAGACTAAAGAATGTCCCTTTTGGAAGGGGACTGAAGAAACATGTCACAAAGGCAGAGTCTGCTGCTGGGCAGCATCCTAGATCAGGAGACAGATATTTTGGGCAGAGTCGGAGAAATATGAATTGAGTAAGGGATAAGACAGAGGAAGAGTGGACAGAGCAAATGAAACATTACGTGCTGCAAATGCATACTAATAAAAACAGGAAGCCTGCCCCTATATATACACAAAAAACTTGGAAAGAAGGGCCCAGGGAATGTGAGAGCACTTTGAACCATTCTACCATTTTTCTGCAGGCTTGAAATTATTTTAAAATTTAAATAAATGAAAAGGCAAAACTGAATTATGCCCTACTAAATTCTTTGTTTATCCATTTTAAATTACTGTCTCCTTAAAGTTCTTTTGCAAACATATACACAGGTTAAAATTCTCAACTTAAGACAGCCTAGGAGACTCTTTATTTCCCCTCAGATTACTTGATTGGTAGTAAAAATTTAAGCTAAATAAAACTGCACCATAGTAAATATAAGTTTCCATGTCAGGATGCCTTGTTTTTACATGGAGTTGTAATGATCGCACTTTCCGCACATGGCTGAAAGTTCCAAGGGCAACAGGCAGACGGAACTCAGCTGGGCCGCTAGGTGATACTGGTGAGGTCAAGGTGATTTTGACGTATGCCCTGCATATTCTTGTTTGGTCTGCTAAGCAAAGATAAGGACTGGGTCTCACCAATCACCTTGTGAATGAAAGCTACTCAAGCCCATCTTGGGGGGCAAGGGGACACAGATGGCTGACTACAATCAAAGGGCAGCTCCAGATAAAATGATTCACATAAGTAGATGAGCAGAGGCCTCCTTACATGAACGAGTAACAGGGTTATTCTATTCTCTTTTTATACTACAGGCCAAAATTAGATGATGCATAAAGATGGTAAACTCGGGAATGAACTGGGTGATTTTTAGAATTCACACAATCCTCACGAATCAATGTGAAAAAAAAAATCTGTTCAGTTTTTAGTTTCATCATAAGCATAAAAAACTATCTTATGTGTCTTAGTTACTTTTCTCTTGTTGCTAAGACAAAATGCCAGATACCCAGAGTTAGAAGAGGAAAGCTCACAGTTTGTAGAGGTTTCAGCCCATAATCAGCTGACTCAAGGCAGGGCAGCACAAGGCAAAGGGGCAAATGCTCATGGTAATGATGATAGCAAAAGTGACAAGAGAAGGAACAAGCCTCTTTCTGTCCCTTATACTGTACGCAAGCTGCCTGCCCTAGGGGATTGTTAGCACTCGCACCCTTAATCACTGGACCACAAATCAGTCACCAACTAGGTTCAGTCGCTTCTGAAAAGCAGCCCCCCATGAGTGCATAAGGCTTTGGGGGACATCTAGACACAAGCCATAACATCATGTAAATAGTTTCTAGTAAATTACATGACCAAATTAGCTAAGAAACACTGCCTGCAAAATTTAAGAAACATAATACAGTTGACCTTTAAATAGTGCTGAGTAGAGGGATCTTGTTAGGCAAAAGTTTAACTAGAGAAGCACATGAGGCATCAAGTTCCATGGGAAGACACAGGGCGGACCATACTCTGAAGCAAAGAGAGCTCTGCTTCAAATCCATTTAATTCACCAACAGACATGGAGAGTCAAGCAGCCTGAGCCCAAGGTCATGGAAAGAGACAGCTGGTGAGAGAAGCACAAGAATGGTCAGACTAAAATGCAAATGGCCAGTTCTTCTCTAAAACTCAGGCAAGTATGGCTGTGGTTCAGATGAAGGACAGTTCTGATTTAAATCCAGTAAGCATCCACTGAGTGTCTCTTTTATGCACAGCCATCTGCTAGGTGTCCGCAAACATTTTCTTACTGAAGCCTCACAATAATTAATATTTACATGCAATATTTCAGATGCCTCCAACTGAAGAAGGAAGAAACTATACAGAACAGAAATCACACAGCATCCATCCGCTGCAAGCCTACCCAATTCACATCATTTCAGTACCTCAGTTTCCTCATTTATAACAGAGGGCAACAACAGTACATCCTCAGAGTTGTGAGCATTAAGTAAGATACTATATAACATTCTTACAACAAAGCCCGGCAGAGAAGAGGACAGCAAAAAATAAAATAGGGACTCTTAAATAATGTAATAGTCCCTAAAAGAACAAAACTCTACACTTCAATTTTCTCAGACAGTAACCTTAAAAAGTGTGTGCTATGCAATCCAGGCCACAGGCTAAAGTTTCCCCTTCCTTTATAAAAATTTCATGCAGAAAAATTACACTGAGTCTAACTAAACACCACACAAAACATCAGTACTTAAATACAAGTTGACAGGATGACTTTGTCTTTTTAGCAGATTAAAAATACAACGAACACTCAAATTCGCAGAGGTCATGGAGCCATGAACAGTTTGCTCACTGCCCACCATCTGGCTGTGCCCCACACACAGAAGTTCGATGCTGAATGAGAGAATTGCAGTTTAACCTGAAATCTGTAAGGTTTTCTGGGCTTATCAAAACTTCCATTTTTCTAGCTTCTATTGCTACAATGCAAAAACACTGTTGACTTGCAATCTCTAATAAACGCTTACCTCAGAGTAAGCAAGAGTGATGTGCTCATAAATCCCTTGGTGGTGATGAATGGCATCTTCCAGATCCTGTAGCTCAGAGGGAAGGTCCACTTCACCGCAGGCTTTGCACCAGGAGTCCACATTGCTCATGTACTTGGGAGGTTAAAATATAAGAAAGGTTATTTCTATCAATGCATCACTGACACTTTATGTGGAGAAAGGGCGGTTTTTAAATGGTTTTGAAAATGAGGGTTGTTTTGCCATGTGTGGTGATGTCCAGAAGGATGAGGCAAGAGGTTGGTGGATCAGCAAGGTTCAAAGCCAGCCTAGACTACCTGAACTAGTTCAAGGCCAGCCTGCAATACATGGTGAGATCTTGTCTCAAAAAATGACAAGGAAGTTAGAGTAGTTAAAGGAGATTATAGGACTATAACCCAGCTACATCTCCATCTCAAATGGCACTGATGAAAGTTCTCTACTGTGATGTGACCTTGGACTCTACCCCCAGAGGTTGAATTCTGACAGGACTGGAGAGGTCAGGCCCAGGAAGCTGCATTTTAACAGAAATCTCGGATTTCAGTGTCCCTGCTGTTTGGGGCATCCTGCCAGCCTTTCAACCAGTATCTGGCACATTTCTCCTGCCTTCTAATCCCTTTCTGTCCCCTCTCAGATAGACTGGGGCTCTGCAGCAGGATACAACCTGATTTTTCCTCTCACTTTAAAATACCAAAGGGAAAGACCGCAGTATCTGATTTACTTAACATCATGAAAAGCAGCCAGACCACTTTCCTATCCTTTTCAGAGGAAATTAACACAGGAAATACAGTGAGCTCACATAAAGGCACCTAAGCTGCTCAGCTGTGACCCTCAAGATGTCTCCAATTTGCATATAAACTAAAGAAGTCCAAGCTGCACAGCTGTCCTCGGTTGCTGGCTGCAGGTCTAATTTTGTTTTAATTTTCTCCACTGCCACCCACATCTTCAGGACTCATCAATAGTGGATAAATCACTGCCAAATTTCCTACGGAGGTGTTATCAGACTCCATCACAGTTAAGAGTCAAAGGCAAGCACAGAAGCCTAATTAAAGAAGCTAATTCAATTAAGCCAAAGAGCTGTCAACACATTTCCCTGGCTTTTAACCTCTTTCACTACAGTTCCTCCTCAAGGTAAAGACATTAGCACAGAATGCAGATGATGGTTGTTTTAAAACACAATACCTGGGAGCCAGACAGGAGAGGCGCTATAATTCTCTTGAAATATAATGAGAGTAATCTCCTAGTTACCTACAGTATTTGTATGGCCTTAAAGTAGGCAAGTCAATTAACAATTATTTACGAAAATTCCTTTATTATTAGTGATGACTCAGAAAAAGAGCTGCATACAAGTGCCAGTGCTTAAAACCAATTCATAAAGCATTAAGTGGCCCTAGATAGCAGGTATCTTCTGCTGATGGCTTCAAGCACCACTAAGCCACTGGGAGCACTGGGGAATATGTCTATTGCTTTGTTTTATTGTGTCTCACCAATATCTTCAAGGTCATGGAAGTAGTAACACAGTTTTACCTCTGCTCTCCCCCACATACCATATATATGACTACTTACGCATATTTCTAAGTATTCCTCGGATAGTGTTTCATTTCATGAATTAGGTCAGGTTAAATGACTAATTAATTATTCTTGAGTTCCGTATCACCCTTCTTCCACTATTGCATTTAATACCAATTACTAATTATAAGCTTTTTTCAAATATAAATTGACTGAGGTTAACCATCATCATTAATAAATTATCAGCTCCAAGTCAGCCATTAATCTGCTCCTGGCTGGTACCAAACACCCCAGCCAAGGAGTTACAGCACATTTCTACAAAGAAATAAAAAGTGCTTCTGACAGAACGTGGTGCAAACATAACTAATATATGGTACAGCATTTTGCAATTTAATGGGAATGTCAGATCACAGATCACTCTGTCAAAATCATAGTCAACTAAAATTTTTAAAGCAACTGAAGTTAAGACCTAGACACGGTAAGACACAAATTCCTTAAATAACAAAGTGCATAAAAAATTGTTTTCTTCAGGAAAAAACAATCTTTCAGGATCCATTTGAGAAAGACACACAGAAAAGCACCTGGGTACTGATCTTTCAAAGGCATGAACTCAAAATCCCCTATGCCCAGTTCAACAGTGAAGAGGTAAAGAGACTGCCTGTGCCTGAGGAAAAGAACCACACAGCTCCCATCTCTGTCCATCAGCAGCTGTTCCCTACACGCCTATAACCTTCCCCAGTGCCAACTGATCAGAGTTCCATGTACAGCTTCTGGCTCTCTGCTAGAGGATGGCACAGTAAAACTTGTTGAAAAACTAGTGCCTTAGTATTAGCTTCCACGTGTCACTTAGCAAATTTAGCTCAGTGAGGTTTGATCCTTAGCACAGAATGCAGGACAGAAGAGAAAGGTGAGAGGTGAGAGATTCTGAGGTGGAGCAGAAAAAGGTGACTTTTTAAAGTGCTGTAAATAAAAAGTAAAAGAAATTTGGGTAGAGCATTGTACAAAAATGAAACAGATGGGAAGGGACACGATTTGTACATGTATGGTTTTTAGAGGAAATGTTAAATAATTTACAGACTGCTTTTCCCTAAACATCCCTCTACTCTTTGCCATGGGCTGAAAAGGGCATCTCTAACCTGGGAGCCCGTCAGCTTTCCTGCCTGCTCTGCCCAGAGCCAGAGTCCCAAGGAACAGCAGAGTTCACCCCACAGTGTTCTCACTCCACCTGGTTCTTACTTCCGGGTACAGCCTCAGCAGAGCACAGGTGACTTAGGATACCAAGGGGTGGAAATTTCAAGAAACATGAATTTTTTAAAGTATTTTTTGGAATGGCTTTCTCTTTGGAAAAATGGAAACTGGTTGAAAAGTACACACACAGACGTGAATTCAAACTTCAGAGGTCTTTTCTTTCTTCTCTTCAATTTTGTTTTCATTTCTAGAAAGCAATACCCTGCTTTTCCTTTTGGTCCCATCACCACCACCTCCCCACGCCACCCACCTGATGTGCCCAGGGGAATCACAGGGTGGATGAAGGATTTTCACTGGTGCACTGTGAATCAGCCAGAGAAACCGGGACAAGGCAAGCTCTGTTTCAACCAGAATATACCAAATATCACCCCAAATACCTTAGGTTGCTTTCATTAACACATTATTTTTCACACATTTTTAATCCCAATTTCCTCCTACTCAGTGAAAATCTTGTTTTTACTACGAACTAACAACAGGACTTGTACTTTTAATAAAAGCTCTACTATCTATCTATCTATCTATCTCATTGACTAAAGATATAAATAGATATAATTACATGTGAATTATTTGCTTTAGAAAGTCAAAAAGGAAATATTGAAGCAGTATTCTTATTTCTCTCTCAATTTTAACCCAGACTTAAATAAAAACCATACAAATGATGACCATGTATGTCATGTTTATAGTAAATGTTATTTTTTCATTTTTATAGGAAGTGAAATTCTGTAAGAATATTAATGGAAGCACAAAATTGTCTGTTATATCTTGGAAGTGAAAACCTTGCCATAGACCTCAAAGAAAACTCCAGCTTTGGGAACACAGGCAAATCTTTCCCCAAATACAGATGATTAGGACATTAGACCACCAGTTCCCTCTACTCCAGTAAGATGATTTGAGGATGAAACAGGATTTTATGTTAAAAAGTTACATACATGTTAAAGAACTATACAAAAACAATAGTTTATTTTGGGCTACTACCAAAGTATAGAAAGCCTTTAAAGTCATGGCCAAAATAATGTAATCAGATTTGTGGGTCACGTGGAAGGTGAACGCAGCGTTAGAACAGGGTTCCATGGTAGTGGAAATGTGTTCCTGTACTATTGCAGGCCTGCTAGCAACTTGCTACTGCTGAGCATGTGAAACATGGATATGGTAGGTGAGGAACTTAATTTTCACTGAATTCTATTTTTTAAAATGTTACTCTTAATTTTATTCACCTTTAAGCAGATTCAAGGGCCACAAGTGGTAAGGGTTATCAAATAAGATTATGCAGTTCTGAATTACTGTTATAGCAGTTAAGTCTGGAAACATGTAGGTACAGTAAAATCGTCACTTAATTCCTTGACTCTTTATATGTTGTAACAATATAATGTGACCAGACATGGTGAGGCAGCACCCTGTAACTCCAGCACTGAGGGGCTGAGGGGGAGGACTATCCTAGGTTCAAGGCCAGCCTCACTATGGCAAGTCTGCTAATATAAATGAACTATGAACTGTCAAGTGGCTCCCACACCACAGGAGCAAGGGGAGTGAAGGCTGTGAGCCCCAGACAACATCTATGGGCAAGACCAACGGTGCTGTTATCACATCTCCATATCTGCAAACTATTATTCTGATCCTGCACCACTACTGGAGGTGAGCAGATGAGAGAACTGAGGAGACCTCTTTGGAGACATCATTCTCATTTAGTCTCAACCTCAAGGTTCAAGTTTATAAAGTCAGAAGCAAAGTTAACACAAGAACACCCACAGAGACCACTGTGGCAGCTCCATCAAGAGCTTAATCCTTACACAAAAGGCTGCTTCCATAAGGAAGACCACTAATCACAGGTACGCATTTCAACACCACATCCCCCAATCAGATTTAACTTCCTCAAGAAAACCCTGGATGAAATTCAAAGAGGTGGCTAAGTTGGAACCCTAAAATTTGGGGCAGCGAAACTGCTGGTCCTTTCCAGATTGAGTGATAAAGACAGGATGAACATGCAAAGAAGGCAAAGCAGCTCAAAATAAGGAACAAAGTAGAACTGCTCCTGTGCTCAATTGGGAAGAGGAAACTACTTTAGTGGAACTGATTTCTTCCTGGCAGCACTACTGAAAAAAATCTTTTCTCTGTTCAGTGATGAAGAAAAGACTCAACACATTTGCATTTAAGCTAAGGACACACCTGGAAAAGGAATGTGAATGTCCCACCTACACACAAGAGATGTCCAGATTGCAGGGTCCTGGCTTCACCAAAGTCCAGAGTGCATGCTGTGCCCCTTCCTCACCAAGAAACTTTGTCTCTAAACTCCTACTTGGTTCTCTGGCCACTTCCTATGCATAGAGTTGCCTGGGCACTGTTAAAGAGTTAATGCCGAAACTCACACAGTCCTCTTTAATTATGTATTCCTCTTGTTTAATTCCTTTCAAACTGTAATTTGCAGTCACTTATTTTTATCCAGACAAAAACATCCTGCTCTTTCAACTTTGCTCCATGTTTGAAATTTTTAATAATAAAATGTTTGGGGGAAATGCCCCACAGTACCCACATTTCTCAATTATTTTTAAAACAAGTCAGATTGGCAATTCACGTCCTGGGGTTATTTACCATACTGAATCCCATCATGTGTATGAGTTCACTTTGTGTTGTGCTTCGGATTACCTGCCATTCCCTGGAGCAGCCTGTTCTACATCAAATACATTCAAAGGTATCTTAACATACCTTTCCAGGACCCACTGCCAATTCATACACCTTCAAATCCATGAAGCTGTCACAGCCCGCACTGTATGATTACTGAAGATGACACATGCATGGACTACACAGCTGATTTTTCCAATCACAGTAACATCAATACTGATCAGATACAACAGTATTCAATACAGTAAGGATCAGAGGTGGCCAGGGCATCATGAAGAGGGTGTTATTTCATGCTATAGGAAGTTCCTATTACTTTAAAAAAAAAATATTTCAAGTGTGGACTTATGCTTATCTTTTATCAGACAATCAGTTATATTTGTAAGGTTAGTAAGCAGAAAAATCCTTACCATTGAAACCTGAAAGTCCTCGCTCACAATTTTTATGTGGCATTATTAAAACTTTTTCTTTACGTTCTGTTAGTTTCCTCCCTTGCTTCACACTATGAAGGTTTATAGAGTTGAGTTCATTGCTAGTTAGTGCCTTGTGGAATGTTCCAACTGCCCTGCCAAAGTCCCAGGCAAGCTTGGGCCTCCATCTACCCTTACTGATGACTTCATTCTTCAACAAAGACTGGATTCAGATGAAAGAAAAACTATTTCCTTCTTGGAAGTATCAGTGCAAATCCCCAGGAATGCAGTGCCCTCACCTCAAAATTATTGCAGAGGTTATATCAGTATTTTCTTTTAAATAAAGTGCATGTTCTTCCCCAGATGAGACTTCCTAGTGGCTGCAAGCTCTTCTGTGCTTTCCCTGCATCTTGAAAAGGCATTTCCTGTACAGCACACCTCCATCCAATGAAGTGTGAGTCGTGAGCAGCTCCTCTCCAGCTGCCTCCATGAACAGAGGTGTGTGGCGAGTATTATGCAGACCCTCTGAAGTAACAGCAAATGAAGCCAATGTGGTCAGACTCCAATCTGTGTAATTTAACTGCTGCGAAAGGCATTGCAAACTGCCTAACCCAAAGCCACATTCAACCTTAGTCCTTGCTGGCAGAGCCTCCTAGGACAAAGGGGCCAAAAAGCTGGACCTGCCATTTCCCCAGCCTTATAGCATAGCATGGACATGCGGTGCTGGGGTACAAGAGTCTTCTGGAAAGAATGTTTTCCTGATATAGTAAAAAGCAAAGACATCGCTGCCATCCCTGCTGGAGTAGACAGTAGAACTGAGGAACTAGTGCACATCTCGCTTCCACAGTGGAAGTACAGAGAACACAGCCCTGCCAGGGCACTGAGCACCCACATCTGCGCATGCCTGGGTAAGAGTGAAGGGCAGGCACCCTGCTGTGTGCTCCAAAGCACCTAATGTAACAATAAGGCAGAAGAGAGGACAAGGTAGAGAGGGAGAGGAGTCAGAAAGAATAGCAGCTACCACTCACCACACAGGGTGAGATCCCTGATTGGAAAACTACAAATCCAAAACCTTTTAACTACCCACAAAAAGCTTTGCATTTCAAAGCATTCTGGATTTCAGGTTATCAGCATATGGATGCTAAACTGGAAAAAGACTATGCAAAAACTCCAAAATCTGTCCCTAGGCACTTCAGATTAAGGGACACACAACTTTTTTACTATAGATCAGGCACTGTGCAGGACATTTACTACAACTTATATTTAGATGGTAAAATAATCTTCCAAGCAGATACTTTGCTATCTTATAAACAAACAAACAAAAAAAAATCTAAAGAACAGAGAGATTCAGTAACTTGTCTAAAAGTTGCTCAGCAATAAGAAAGGGAGCTTGGATTTAACCTCAAGGCTGAGGCGCTTCAGAGCTCACAATAAGTCTGGTACAAAAGGCCTCCACAGATTCGCTGCACCTCTGCAGAGTTATTCGGGAAGAGCTATTCTGCCTGCCACCTGCCTCATGGGTAGGGTTCCCGGCACTGACCTTTTCGGCCTTCTGGTGGAAAATGGAGGACATGTCCAGCAAGGTGCTACGCTCGTCCAGGGCTGCTGCGAATGCCTTCCATTCTTGCTCCAGCTGATTTGCAATCTGTTTAATCTGCTGAGAGGCATAGTGCCCAGATTCAACCAAGCGATTGGCCACTGACATGATGCGGTTTATATTTACATACACGTTCTGCAAAAGACAGAAGCAGCAGGTTCGTTAGCAGAAGGCAAATGAGGGGCTCCTTTCGAAGAAACCCAGGTAGCACTTCCTAAAGAAGCTGCCTGAAAGTTTTCTTATTTTTAACAGAAGAATCACCTGGAACGTAACAGATATAGCTGGTCTCTGGATTTTCATAAACCGAGCTTTTGTTCCAGTTTACATTTCCAAAACTGTAAAATTAGAAATCAACTAACTGTAAAGCACAAAGCCATTGAACACACAAGTGGATGCACACAAATACACTATTACTCACTTCTTGGCTTCGAAGACTGACAGGGAGCCAGATGGCAAGCCTACCGACAGGCAGTCACACAGAACCGAAGGAACCCAAGGTTTCAGTTTTTAAACTAGAACCCAGAAACTAAAAATATGTACTTAGCAACCAAAGGCTATTTGTGTGAAAACAAACTCTCCTTTCTACATAAGCCCAAATTATCTTTCTAAGGCCAACAGAAAATCTCCTATGAATTCTCCCAGGATATGAATTGAGGTAGAATCATAATAATGCTGTGTTAAAATTTTAAATAAAGCTTTTCTAGTCTGATGAAATTTGAGTCCTCAAGCCTACTAGTTTAGTGAAAAACATAAGGGTAGAAGGCATAAAAAAAAAAAAAAAAAATAACCAAACGAAAAACTCCACAGCTCTTCTTTTTGTTTGGTACCGGGGACTGAACTCACAACCTCACACTTGCCAGGCAGGAGGTTACACTGCTGAGCTAAATCCCTGGCTCTCCACAGCTCTTCTTGCAAAACATGTCCTCGCCGTGAGTTTTCTCCCAATGCTCTCTAGATTCAGTACCCAAGGCTGGGCAGGAGCGCAGCCTCCGCAAGTGCCACGCTGATCTCTGTCACGTATTTGCGGCTTCTGTAACACTGTCGCCTCCCGCCCTTGCCCCTATCTAACCACCCAAGCTGTCCAGTGCCCTATGTCCCTCCTTTCCCGTGGAGCTGCTGAGTGCTTCCCACTCTGCCGGCCACCTCCCTTGTCCCATAGCTCTCTGCAGCCCACCCAGGTAAAGAGCCCCAAGGCCCACCTGTCCACCCTTTCTTTGCACCTCTTTCTGTTCGTCCTTCTTCTCTATTTCCGACCCATGCCAGAACTTAGTGGAGTCGCCCCAGCCTGGAGAGAGCACAGGATTCCAGGCTGAGCTTTTCCAGGGCTACAAGCATCAACAGACCACCGTCCTGAGGAGGCAGGAAGAAGGAGTGCTCTGTGAGGCTGTGACGTCACAGCCAGGGTTGGCAGGACAGAGCCTCACTGGCTGTGTGCGGGTATTAATGTTCTAACTAGCACTTGAAGCTCAAAGCAATGTGTCCAATTCTCCTGTGCATTCTTTCCCTCTCCCACCCCCTTCATTCTTAAAGTGTCTGGTGACTCCCTGTACAAGTTGTGCTTCCCTGAATCTTTAAAGAATATAAGCCCATCTAAATAGACTCCTAGGCGAGCACAAGATGCTCTAAGCCAGGCTCTGGAGAAGAGCTGTCCACTAAGATGCTCTACTGTGGGAAGCACTGACGAAACTCACCCATGCTTAGATTCTGTTATATTTTCCTGTGTTACTTTTATACCCCAAGTACCCTGCACCAGTTAGTGTATAATAATTTTTCCTTTGCTCCCATCACATAGAGTGATTCGGTATAGCAGTCTACAGACTAAACAGCCTTCTCACAGATATAGAAATGTGTAGTTCCCTACATTAGAAGTACTATACTTAGAGTCTTATCATAGCTTTGTAAATATATGCCATAGCAAGTGGAGCATAACAATTGGTATCCCTTATAAAACGATTTTTTAAACACTGTCCACTTTCCATACTGATATTTAATATTTATATTTTGTCAAAAAATTATTCAAAACACTATAGGCAGTTACAAGTAGGGTTAAAGATTAATGTCTTGGTCTTCATAAATAAATGTTATGGATGGTTACCAAAGGGTCATGGAAGTGTTCACAACCAGGCTGAGAACAGTTCTGAAAATTTACCTCAAGCAACTGCCATCATGCACAGTTCAGAGTTACCATAGTCTAACTAAAATTTTACCTTAGAAAAGTAACATAGCTATGTTATAGGAAACAATTAAAAGAAAATATACTTAAATCTTGGGGAATAAAAACAAGACACCATCCACACTTGTTGTTCCTTATCTGTAATTATCCTGATAACATCATAGGTACTAATCATCGTTTATCAATTGCTTACCATATGTCACACACTACTCTGAAGCATTTTACAGGTACAGAGTAAATAATGTAACACCATGGTGGGCAGACAGTACACTTTACAGATTTACAGATTAGGCACTTTACAGATTAGGCAACTGAGGCTTGAGGAGGTCTCTCCTCTAGGTCATATAGTACGCAGAAGAGACAGGATTTAAAATGTCCATGTGTACAACTCCTTCCCTGTCTTGACAGGCTTCTTAGTCTCTCGATTGCTAAATCTGCCACTAATAAGGCTGGGCAGGGGCATTTTCAGGTGATTTCTAGAATACATTTTAATATTTCCAAAATATGTGATACAGTGAATTAAATGTGCCTCTTAATATAACTAAAGTTTCAGAAGATTCTGAAAAGTAGGTAGTAATTCTAGGGGAAGAACTTCTTTTAAGAAGCTATCCCTCAGAGGCAAACATTTCAGCTGTCCTTATCTGTGGACAGATGGTTATTTAAACATAAAATTCTCTTAACTGAAATTCTAGAACTCTAAAACTTTTTAATGACAGTTTATTACAAAAATTAATATTCTTAAATCTTATCTTTGAAACTACCTAACTTGTGTTCTTGGTTAAACAAACTTTAATTGAATGGGATGTTACCAATTTAATTTAAACAAAGACTCTATCTTCATAATGCTCTAATAGTCTACAACAAATGCTGCCAGATTTACCAGTAGTTAATTCTCACAAGGCTGGCTTCAAATCCAAACCCAAATCCCAGCCCCTAAATAGGAAATTTTAGAACCTTAACTTCCTACAGAAGTGAGCACATTTCCTACAGGTATAAAGCAACATACAATTTTAGTTCATGTTGCTACATAAAAATGGAACCCAAGTGCTATTAAAAACTCACTGTTTGTTGAACAGGACCCAGGCAGCAGCAGCCCATCTGCGCCTGCTCGGTAGTACTTGAAAGAGTCAGGACAGCAGTAAATGGGCACCGAAAGCATCAACCCCACAGACAGCTCAGGGTACAGGCCCAGTGAAGGCAGACCCTAGCTTTCAGCCACACAGGCAGAAGCTCCCAAGTCAGGAGACCTGGAGTGCTGCACGAGGGATTCTGAAGGCTGGCCGGGTTCCACTCTGCTCCAGCTTTCCAGGCCCCCTGCCTCTCTGCTCAATGAGCCACAGAACTGGTTCAGATCTTACTGGTTGTTTGTCTGTCTGAACTCAAAAGAAGACACTCAGACTGAAACACTGGACAATCTACTTGGAAGTCAGCTGCTACAATCACGACGGTCTGTTAGAAAGCCTGCGCTGCCTGTGGCAGGTGCTGGGACAGGAGCTGCTGAATACTTCCTGTTTACTAAAATGCTTTCACACACCAGGATTGGCCTGCTGTGCCGATAGCTTACCATACAGTTCATAGCAAAGTGATTGTGCTGCGTCTGAAGCTCCATGGCGTGGGGGTGGCTGGTCCCAATCTCCGTGTAGCTGTTTAGAAACAGGCCTTTGTTGTGTGTGATCCAGTCAAACATCTACCAGAAGGAAAAACACAACCTGGAATCACTGCAAAAAGATAAGGACTGATGCCACACCAAGAAGGGTGCCATCCCTCCTCTGACCTCTCCTCAGAGGTATCTAGGCACACAGGTCAGCAAATGAACTTTCAGGGTCTACTGGAAATCTTTAGCTACTGACCAGGAGTTAAGAAGCAGGGAAGAGGTACTCAGCCAGTCTCCAGGCCAATTAAAACTCTTATATTCTGACTCCACCACCCAAAACTGCTGCATTTGCCACACTGCTCTGCAACCGAAGACCAGGAAGTAGAACCAGGGACTCATAGGTCTCTGGATATTGGCTCTCCCACAAATCACTGTGGCAACACCGTGACCCAAAGGAGATACTCTTTAATGACAGAAATATATGGAAACCTGAGCACTTGCAAACAATAAAATGTAACCAAAAATATTGACAGGACATGAGGACATTTTCATGATGGTCTTCCTCATGGTTTAAAACAGATACTGCTTGAACAAGGATATCAGTAAGGTTCTTACAGAGAACTGAGGCTGCAGCTTGGCGCAGAGTACCAGCCTGGCATGCCCAGGGCCCTGAGTTTAATCTCCAGCACCACCAACAAAAAGAAGAAGAAAAGTGTGAAAAAAGGCTCCCATAGAAAATATTTACAGAAATAAAGAAACAGAAATAACTGTCATTTGGTTTGGGTTTTACTGCAGTGTCTTAAACCTGGAATCCTAGGAGTAGTAATTGGTTTTTCTAATAACTGGAAGAGTTTCCAGTGTCTTTAACAAGGTACTAGTTAAAACCAAAGTACAGTGACAGGTTAAAAGCTTACCAAAAAATAATACTGGATTTTTACCTTTTAAAATCTCCTTCTGTATCAAAGATTTCTAGAAGTTTTTACATTAAGGGAAAAAAATGTCCATTTAAAAAAAAAAGTCACGAACTCAAGAATGATTAACTGACCTATATTTATGGCTTACAATACACAGTGCTAATACATTAGCTTGTAATTGATTAGAATTCATTTTTTGTCTGATGCAAATGAATAAAACATAAGACTATAAATAATAATTGCCTATATTACCCAGAAACTTATTTTTTAATAAATTACTCACCTTTTATTTTGAAAACACATTCAAATATAGATCTAAATTGTCTTTGTGTTAGAGGAAGACTAGCTATTACCAAAATGCATACATGGTTCCTGCTTTCAATAACAAAGTCTTATTAAATTATCCCTTTTTTAACTAAAAATATTCTTGTCTATCTTACAGGCATTCGACATCAAAGCATCAATAATTTTAAGTCAAAATTTCTAAAACGGCTCTATACTGCACAGTGAGTAAAGTGAGAAACTGACCGTGTGGTCTCTGATGAGCCACGGTCTACGAAGAATGCCATGAGCACCGCCTGCCATTCTGCCCAACTCACTCCCGTGTCCCTGTTCCCCTGACCGCGAGTGCCCTGGCTGCCCAGACCTGCAGCTGCCCACCACATCCTCTCAGTGCCCCTGCCTGTTACCTTCTCAGCATCCTGCTCAAACAGCCGCAGCTGGAAACACTGATCCAACTTCAGTTTCCTCACGTGCCACATCTGGTGCAGGTGTTGCCGGGTCGAGTGCAACCTGTCCAGCATAGTGGACACCTTGGGCAAGAGGTTCTGAAGATCCGCGTTGCCTGATCCTGAATTCTTTTTGGGAAAGCTATCGCTGCTCTGAATCCTCTGAAGCAGCTTCTGTCCCTCCAAATCCAAGTCCTCTATGGGGGCCTTGATTACCTTCTTCTTGAGCTGGGAATGCTCCTCGATCATGTTCCGAGCCCCCTCTAGGTCCTGAGGCAGCTCCTTCTTAGCAAGGATGTCCTGAAGTTCCTCCAGTCGAGACAGCATGTGAGTTGCATTGCTAATGTAGTCTTCAAAAGCAACTCTGATTTCAATCCATTCTTCATGGTTGTATTCCAGGCAGCCATCGAACTCGGGAGTTAGCTGAGAAGGATCAACTACTTTGGTAAGGCCTTCTAAAGAGACCATATTTGTCTTAAGGGAAAAAAAATCATGTATAAGAAGATGGACCAATTTTATATGGTCTTAACATAATGCAATTTATAGTCACAGATTTTCAAAGTTAAAGTGATCTATTTATAAAAAACACAACATACCTGATGCTGGCTCCATAAAAAATATGGATGAAAGAAGTATTATTAGTACAATGAAAAATTATTCAAGTGGAATAACACATATATGTTACCTGAAATATTTCACAAGACCAAAGGCAATCAGATTCCTTTCCAAGACATGTAAAGATTAATCCACTATCTGAGCACACTAGATCAGGACACGGGTGACCATGCAGACAGCACAGATATTTCCTTTTCACCAATGCATGCTTCCAGCCATTCTTCCCTTCTGCTCCACTTATCACCTCTTTACCAGGAGAAAAGTGCAGACCTCCTTCCTATCTCCTACCACACTAATCACGGGCTTCAAAAAGTTTAAGATTACTCATCTGTGGACCACTAACTAAATGACAAATGCTACTTCATTTAGGGTTAGACCATCACCTTTATCATTTACCTTGTCCCTTGCCCACTTCCCATCAATCAATCAATGATAGCATACAAATGACATTTCCAAAATTCAGAAAATATCTCAAGGTTAGCAAGAAAGTTCATGGAGACTTTTCACTAAGCTGAAGACAAAGAGCATGTCTCATACTGAGTACTAATCTGCTGTAATTCTGAGCAGTCATGTGTTGTATATGATCTGCCCTACCTCCTTCCAATTTATCAGTGACCAAACTGTAGTCAATTAAAGTCTAACCTAAAAGCTATAGCTCAATCTATCAGAATATGCGGCAAATTAGTGCTAATATTATGCCTCAAGGAAAATATAAAGTATAGATAATTAAAGGAAAAGTGGTGTACCTTAGAACCAACAGAAAAAGACTAGGTGAACCCCACTTTAGTGAATTTCAGCTTTGCAGAAACCTAAGACAGGCATATTCGTGTTGGTTGCTGCACCAAAAAAGCAAGGAAGAGGGGCTTGCTTCTAACCACACCTTTGCCTCTAACGCTGCTACCGGCTCATCCCATCTCCTCTCTTGACCTTTAAGTTACCTCCATGGAGGCAGCCGCTTACAGAGAGAGGGTCTGGTGTCCATGTGGAGACAGCCAGGAAACTAGGACAGGGATCTTTAAAGAGCCCCGACGGAGAACTTAGCAAATATTTGCATGAATGTTATGGCCAAACCATTTTTTTAACTTACAATATGTATAATTAAATACAGTAACTTTGAGTTCTGCCTCGAGAAAATAATATCCAATAAAGTATCTTCCAAAATCTCTGCTTATTTTATAAGAAGATAAGGTTTACTTTATCTTTCACCTAAACGTTTTCAGTAGGTTCAAATTTAAATTAAAACCAAATTCAGATCCCAGATAGGAAAATCAGTATTATGGAAAGACAGTTCAAAATCTGAATACACATGATAAAACAGTCTAAAGAATTAGGATCTTTTAGTGGGTTTAGTATGATTTTCCTTAATACTGTATTAAAACTTAACGTACACATTGAAATCTAATGTTTGGGCAGAGATGCAAGAAGAGGAAAGCTAGTCAATTAAAAACTGTTACAATTTATTATCACAGAATTCATACAATTAATTATCTCTTTTTTTTTGGGTGAAGGGAGAGACAATGTCTCACTATGTAGTTCAGACTGGCCTTGAACTTACTACATAGCCCAGGCTGGTCTTAAACTTGTGAGGATCCTCCTGCCTCAGTTTTCCAAGTGCTGGGATTACAGGTGTGTGCCACCACGCCCAGCCAACAATTCTCTCTTTAAATTGACCACATCAAAAACTTTGTCAGAAGCTTAAGGAGAGGTGCTTATAATGGAAAAGAAATTAAGTTAGCAGGCTGAGGTTCACTTTCTATAAATATCCAAAAGACAGTACAGTAATCTATTGTGCCTAAATGAACTCAAGGCTCTGCATACTTTTTCCTAAGGAGAGATCTGGAATCCACACTAAGTGACAGGCCATTCTTTGCCACTGCAGTGACAGGCTGAACTCTGTCCCTTCAATGTTTTCCCTTCAGAAACATGGAGTTGGGCTCCCTGCCACCTGATCTCCAGGCTGAGACAATGATGGTGAGTCTACAGCCATGCACCAGCCCCTGTGGTCCCTGGTAGAGTTGCTCAGTTGAAGTTCCAGGAACAAGTTCCTCCTCCCAAGGAAACTGCCAGCCCTTCAGTGGCCCCACACCCACACTCAAGAACAGTGAGCCTAAACCCTGAGTCAAGGGTCTACTGGGATGACGAACTCCATGTTGCTATTTCTCCCAGTAACTAATTCTACATAGGATGTGCATGTGAAACATGTAGTTCTTGGTGTTAACAGACTAAAACGATGAGGGTGTGTGTGTGTGTGTGTGTGTGTGTGTGTGTGTGTGTGTTTTCTCTGGTACTAGGGATTGAATTCAGGGGCCTTTACATTAGGCTACATTCCCTATCCCTTTTTAATTTTGAGACAGGGTGTTGCTAAGTTGCCCAAGCTGGGCTCAATTTGCAATCCTCCTGCCTCAACCTCCCAAAGTACCCAAATCCTGGGATCATAGGTATCTACCACAATGCCCGGCTGTAAGTTGGCTTTCAATAAACCACACCAGTGGGTTTAGTGGGTCTAGCCACCCATGGGAAGTTACCTCAAATTCAAACTTTGAGCTGCCAAAATTCGTCCTCTGCTTCTGCCAGAAGTTGTCTGGCTTGATGATTAGGGCAATGTGGATGCAGCAAGGAAAGGACTCCTGCAGGATCTTCAGCAGGGGCTTGATGGAGTCCCACTTGGACCCACGCATGTCCACGATCACTGTGAAGCCTCGCTTGCACACCTCCTCACTGCAGAGAAGAACACAGGCTGAAGGCACGGTTGCAGCTCTCCCCCAGGGTCTGCTCAGTGTCCCTTGGTGGGTCAGGTGCTGCTTCCTTCATCCTGTCTCATGTTCCCTTGGGACAAAGCCAAGCCCTGACCTTGGAAACAGCGCATTGCCACCACCCTGGGCAGCTCGGTTCCACCCCAGCCCTCCCTGGTACCACCAGAAACAGAAGCAGACCACATATGCATCAGTGACAGACTCACATGTTCAACTTCAAAAACCTTTACAATTTAAATTCTATGCTTATCATTTTGAATCCTGTCTTTTCTTCATTCAGGAGGAAAACAGCCATCTTGTCCACATCTCTTGTCTTTAATGACGGCATATGCTCATCCAGCAAATAACTACCATAAGCAAAAGTCCCTGGGAAGGATCACAGATACAAACCCGTGATGCCCAACAAGAGCTCAGGCAGGGACAGAGGTCACCCAGGACTCCCAGAACCACAAATGCTAAGTGACCCCCAGAAGCATGGCTGGCAATGCTGAGAGCTTTCTAATGTCTCATTTTGTTCCCTTTACCCTATATCAGGTCCTTTAGCCATCTCAGAAGTTCTCTCAGGGTCAATCGCCCTCCCCTAGGATTCCCAGCACCATTCTGGCAGACTCTGTGAGATAAACCTAATTTCCCAATGGTCTGGCTTCACTGAAAGTATTAAAGCAGTGATGAGTAAGAATGCTGGCCCCTGGTACAAATCAATGTCATGGCAGGAATCACTGTATTCTTCCCCTCCAGTTTATAGTAAAAACAAAAAGCCTATTTCAGCTGGGTGCAATGACACATGCTTCTGGTCCTAGCACTCAGTGGGCTGATCACTGGAGACCAGGAGTTGGAGACCAGCCTGATATAGTGAGATCCCATACCAAGACAAGAAAGAGGGCAGGAGAGAAGGACACTGAGAAGGAGAAAGGGGAAGCAGGAGAGATGGAGAAAGGGAGAAAGAAAGAAAGGGAGAGAAGAATGCTAGTTTTTAATTTTATTAAATTTTAACCCACATATGTGGGAAATGCATATAAGTGTGCATCTACAATAAAAAACTAACAAGTCAAGGTTTCCTTAAACATGAGCTCACTACATTGTAACTTAAAGGATACATAGAGAAGCTTTGGTGCTGGCTTCCCACGGACCACAGCTAAGGAGCCACTGCAATCCTTACTATTAGAAGGTGGTCCGTAGCACTCTGTGCTGACTCCTGATACCAGGAGCAGATACTAAGGAGGTAATGACAGCCAGCAAGGTCTTGGAAATATACTTAAGACATGATAAGCACTCAGAGACTGTTAGGTTCTCACCTCGTGGAAAAAAACTGCAATGATGGGCAAGACATTTGACATTTTCAGCCTCATATAATCCCCCTTTCAAAAAAGCAATCTCATCTAAAAACTCAGAAAATAAATGGTTTAAAAAACAATTGAAGTCAAATTTAAAACCAATTTCATGGCCTTTATTCCCCTACTGTTTCCCCTTCCTACACCCTCGCCCACCCCTTTTCTTATCTTGATTTGTATTATGGAGTACAAAACTGGCACTCAGTTTCACAGATGCAAAGTACATATGACACACGCATCAGTGTAAGAGAGTGCCTGCGATGTACAGCCCGGCAGCCTGTCTGATGGCTGTAAGAACAGTGTTTAAGGCTATGGAAAGAGCTGAAGTTGTGCTGATCACCCGAACGCTGAGGAGGTGAAGGCTGTAGTGGTGAATCTATGGCACGTTACCCTGTTTTCCCTTTAAGACCAAATATGTTATATGGAGTTGTTGTTCGCTAAACTAAAATCTCAGTATTTTTCTAAACTAAAACTTCAGTATTCAGGTTTAACTGAAGTGTTGGCAGTTTGTGATAAGTAAGTGGGTTTTACCTTGCAGTTTCTCACTTAGTCTCTCAAAGGTTGACCCCTCTGTGCTTAAGGAATGTGATATCCTGCTAACTCCCATATGAATGTGAATATGAGTATGAACCGCAGCTGAGCTAATACCAGCTCTAGCACTCCTCACACTGTGGCCATCACCTGCCATTCCCAGAAGCAACCAGTTGTAATCCTGGTAACCTCACAGACAAAAACAGCTTCATTTCCTGACCTTACTCATAAAACCCAGAGACAACCAAATCACAGAAATTAAGCATCCAGGGTCTCTGTGAGTCCTTCTGGGTTTGCAATTCTGCAAGGCTTCACTTAGAGTAACTCCAGATTCCCAGAGATCCTAGGGTGAGTGCAGTCAGAGCACAGGAGAAAACTTTGAGAGAAGGCCTGTGGCCCTGCTGGGGCACATCCCCATGGACTGAAGACTGGCAGACTGGAGTGATGTACTTTGTTTGTTTTATTAGCTGTTGTTTGGCACACTGCATCTTAAGTGTCAATCTTTGCCACATATCTAGATAAATTCTCTTGCAGACAATCTTCTGCCTAACACAGTCTTATGCATCGTGCACCTAAACTACCAAGCCCTCCACTTCAAAGGGGCCTAAAAGGAACCCTGAATAACTCTAGTTTCAACTGCAACAAGCCAGAGAATAACACAGATAAAAGTACACTGAGCTTGCACAGTTTACAGAAGGATTAACTGTTCTCCTTCCTCCACCACCAAACTCCTACCACCCTGTAGCATCTCAAGCAGGACTGGGCTGGGAATGCCTTTCAATGCATCTGCTTTTTACCACCTTATAAGCAGCCATCATTGGGACAATAGTGACTTACAAACATCTTCCAATCTAGCTACAACAGAGGAGCTATGAGTGAACCTACACAGCAGCCAGCAGGAGCAGGTCTCTAAGCCCCGCTACCTCGAGGACAGATCCTGCTTTTTGGAAAATGTGACTTATTAATCGGTTATTTTAACAGTTTTACCTAGAAACCCCACATTACATATAAAATGAAGAAAAGTTAGATAAAACTAAAGGCCCTTCTTAACACAGGCCTCTGAAAGAGAGAAATTTTATTTTCATTAGTTCCTAGATAAAGATTATACCTCTAGAAAGGAATGTTTGCAAATGAATCAAGTAATGATCATCATATTACTTCACTAGCAACAACTGAGTCAGAGTAGTTTGGCAATTTATCTACTATAAAACATTCTAAAGAAGACAAAATGTTCTCAAACATAATTAGTATAAATATAAGGCAAATAGCAACAACTCCCCAGAACTTGTGCAGAAATCTCAACGATAACAGTAAGATTGAAGCTGCTATGCACACCTCCTGCAATTAATGAGCGCTTCCGCTATAGACTAACATGATGGGTCCAGCCTGTTAGTAAGCCAAGTACCAGCCAAGAACCATCCCCAGCTGCTCAGGTCAAATTTATGTCCAACTGTGGGACACAGCCAGGAAGGCATGCAGTATGATTTGCTTCTAGAAAGCACAGCAAAAGGGAAATGACTGGAAAAAAAAAAAAAAAAAAAAAAGCAAACATGAAAGAAAACTATTACACTATTTCTGAGGCACCATGCTGGATGCATAAAAATAACCTTACTCAATCCTCAAAATAATCCCAAGATATAGATTCATAGATCAGAAAACCAGTAATTCAGTAACTTGTCCCAGGCCAGTCTGATTCTGAGGCTATCCTCTTCCTGCTAGGAGACTTCCTTAAGATGACGGAACCCTACTCCATTTGTCCTCAACTCTCAGAAGAATTAAGAGTAATGGGCAGACATAGCAGTCTATGCGCATGGGTACACGCCACTGTGAAACTGTAACAAAAAATGACCAACTTTACAAATTATATGCCATTAATTTGGTGATATGTCTCCTTGATCCTACTGTCTGGCTGAATTTCAATGGACTCCTGCTGCTGAGCCTTTGCAGGGGCAGTGAGCCTGCAGGACACCAGAGCAGGTAAGAAGGACTCTTTCTGTGGCTGCTTCTCTCTATTTGGGCCACTATGAATCTCTCCCCACGTTACTTCACAAATGTATCATTTAAAATTTAATTTCTCTCATTTACTCTATAACCATGGACCTCTAAACAAAGGCATTTCTTGCGACTATAGTAAATACAAAAGCAAATCAAGGCAATGAGGTGAGTGTGCAGTGGGTAGAGGGTTGTCATTACCCAGATTCACGAGTGAGATTGTATGATGCTTGGGGTTTTTATAAAATACCCCAAAGGGGAAAATCTGAAAAAAACAAGATTGACAAAATCTAACGAATGTTGAAGCTGGGTGATAATTATGAATAGGGTGTTCACTGCATTATGTTCTCTACTTAAGGGGATGCTCACACTTATCGGTGAGGTTTTGTTTCCTTTAAAGTAGGTCATCTGGATGATCCCACAGGCATTTAAAATGGTCATTTGGTATCAACGAAAGTATAAATTAATTTTTATACTTACTCTCAACACAGACATCAAAAACCAACTGTTAGTCAATCTATCATTTATGTTTCAATTGTGTGAATATTTTTAAATCCCTAAGTGAATACCAACTACACCTTCATTCATTCACTTTGGTGGTAGGGATGGAGCCCAAGACCTAGTACAACCCAAGTACATATTGTACCACTGAGCTACACCTCCTAGGCACAACTTTAATTTTTAATTAAATCATGAGACAAGTACAGGACCACTTTTGTTGGCAAGAGGTTTCATTTTTATATTTTTGGTATTTCTTTTTCCAGCAGTATAGAACCCAGCACATAAGAAGATCTCAGTGAGTCTTTTTTTTTTTTTTTGTACTGGGGAGCAAACTCACTACCTCATGTTGCCAGGTAGGTGCTGGGCTGCTGAGCTAAATCCCCGGCCCCAGTAAATCATATTTATAAAGTATTTGGTTATTTACAAAGCATAGTGAATAGTAACTAACTTCTAAACCCTTTTCCAAACCTATGATTTCAACAGTTAAGCAGCCCAAAGAGATACGAGGAAAGGGAAAACATTTTTCAAATATATAAGGGAGCCTAATCACAGACAGTGACAGTCTTCCTATGAAAGCTGTTCTAACAGAAAAATCTAAGAATGTCCCCACTAGATCAAATCCTTTACCAGCCACTGCAGGGATCTGAGACAAAAGTGTACAGCTGCTGACCCTGGCTGGCCTCAATTTAATCACGTTAAGAGTGTCACAAACCGGGGCTGGGGATTTAGCTCAGTGGCATAAGTGCCTGCCTTGCAAGCAGGCAGTCGTGAGTTCAATCCCCGGTACCGATAAAAACAAAAAAGACAAAAAAAGAAAAAAGAAAGAAAAGAAAAGAAAAAAGAGTGTCACAAACCACATACTGTGGTGTATCTACTGTATTTACTTCGACTTTTGAAAACCCAATTTGTTGTTATTGGCCATCTTAGGGCTTCTCAGCCACTTAACCTTACATGTTCTCTACCCCCTACTATAACCACATTTTCTTATACACATCCTAAGTTACAGACTGGGAAAATGCTTCCTTTCTTTACCAAAGAACAATGGAACAAATGTTTATCATGAGACAGAAACACGTACTCAATTAATGAGACCCAATCTCAGGCCACTGAGCCCACTGTCCCTTGGCATTAGATTTATCTATGGTGACTCTGTTTGACTTCTTAGGTATCTGGGATCCTAAAATCCCTGCTGGGTGGTCAACATTCCTAATCAACACACATAGTTCTTCAAAATAAAATGCCCGTTTCTTGTTCCTGACTGCAGAATGTTTTACACAAGACAACAATGATCACATTTTAGAAATAAGGAGAAAGTAGCTGCATAACTTGTAACAGCTAGATCTTAGAACCCAAATACCCATCAACTGAGGAGTAGATTAAAAAGATATGGCATCTTTATACAATGGAATACTACTCAGCCATAAAGAACAATAAACTCAAGGCTTTTATAGGTAAATGGATGCAACATCACAAATGAAATAAATCAGACTGGCAGGTGTAAGCATGAGGGGGGGGGCGAAAAAGGGAAGGGAGAGGGGGAGGGGGAGGGAGAAAGGAAGGAAGGAAGGAAGGAAGGAAGGTAGGCAGGCTGGTAGGTCGGTCATTCGGTCGGTCGGTCGGTCATGGCCTTGATTTTATACTTTGTCTCCTGGGGATTCAGCCACCATCAGCTCTTTTCTAAAAAGTCCATACAGTGTTCTATCTCCCAGGTTTGTGAAAAAGAGTAACAGGCGAAAAATCACCAGAACTTACCTAGGAATGCAGGCTAGATATGAAATGAGTCTTCTAAGATCCTCTTGTCGTATTCTGTCATGATTGCTGCGGGCTGGAAATGTTAAAATGGGACCCCCACGCTTATCTCTGCCACCTAAAAAACAAACATTAGAAGCATGCTTAGACAAAAACCAAGATCTGAAAGGACTCTCTCTGTGCCATCCCAAGTACAACATCATCATCATCACTCATCAAAATAGTACCTAAATACACCATACAATCAGGAAGGGTCCTGAAAACCCCAAGTCTGTGTCATCCCCTCACAGGCATCAGAAGGAATGGCCTGGCTTTTGAAGGGCAAATGGAAGTCACTACAGAAGGCCTTGTCTTTTACTGCTGGAAGAAACTCCTTTCGGTAATGCGTGGACAAAGAAGTGTTTCCACACACTTCTGATTCACTCACATTGACAACGACCTCTCTCTTGCCCCCACTCTGCCTTTTCCTTCCCTTCTCTGCATTCTAAACTGTCTCTTGTCTACCAACCGGAATGGGTTCTCAGTTTTGAAAGGAATGGAAAAAGGTGCTTCTTTATGCTGATGACTACCCTACATAATTTGGGATCAACAGCATCTGACTACCAATGGCCAAGTCTTACTGATCTTTTACATAAAGCTGTATATCCAAAGCAGAGAAGTGGGCATACAAGATTTTTAAAGTAGGTGGAATGAAAAAAACCACCTCATATCCTAATACAAATCTAACTTGACAGGCAAGGAAGGTTTCATATAGATGTAAGATATAGATACAGATAGATATAGTTATAGATATACAGGTGTATATATATAGATATACATATCTATATAATCTTAATGAAGTCAGCTTGGAATCACAGACACTTTTGGTGAAACTATCACATTTACTTTATTACTTCCATCAAGATTATCAAGAAATTAGAGAAGGAAACTCTAGCCTTCTCAAGTAGAGACATTTAGTTTTAAAACTCTGATTATCTCTTTTCAGAGGATCTCAAACTTCAAGTCACATTATGCAAGTCTTTTACTTATTTTCTATGCACCAAAAATGATCAACAAGGTAAAATTAAAAAGTAAGCAACAAAACAACAGAGGATTATTTCATTTTAGTAAGAAAGATCAAAACGATATACAGTAGATGATGCTGGTATTTTTGCAATATTTTACAGTTTCCTAGATGGTCACTTGCACATTCTAAAGTTTCTAAACTTAATTCTGATTGTAAATACTTAAAATGATCCACATGCACTGTTCAGGCATGCGATCTTCAAAAAGCCTTATATTATTTGTAATGTAACAGTTCAAGTATTCAGTAGGAATCACGGTATATCACAGGTACCAGTACATCTCAGTCATCAATGAATGGTTAACATAATAAAAACAGGACAACTATACTCTCCCAATAAAATCCCCCACAGAACCAACAATACTATCCCCTCAAGTATTTCGGTCTCCTAACACACAAAAGTTGAATCTAAATCTAATTGGTTCTCAAGACCTAATTCCTTGTCTTTAGGAAACATTAAAAGAGAAATAGAAAAAAATGACCCGTAAGGGACACAACCCACAAAAATCTATAATGCAGAAAAATCTACGGGAAAATATTTGAATTTCCTCACCTAATAAATATAAGAGGATGAGACAAAAGCAGCAAGAAAGAAAGGACCTAGAGGTCGAAAGAAACATATCAGGCCGGGGAGTTAGCTCATAGGCATAAGCTTGCCTGGCAAGCTCAAGGCCATGAGTTCAATCCCTGGTACCAAAAAAAAAAAAGAAAGAAAGAAAGAAATGTATCAGACATCTCCACCAACTACAATCTGCATCTACCAACATGGAGAATAGGAAAACCTGAACACTGACTGGTTCTTTATATTAAAGAACTACAATTCCATTTTTAGGTCTATTTATGGTACTGTGGATTTTTAAGAACTAAACTTTTCGAGATATATACTAAATGTTTATAAATAAAATGACAGGACATCAGGAATTTACTTCAAAATTCATCAGAGTAAGAAGAAGGAAGTAATGAAACTATAGAGGAAACAGACTTCTGAATCACAGAAAATTTATAAACTATTCTCTTTCCATTTGAATGTTAAAGTATTTTATGACAAAAAAGCTTATTAAAAATAAGTATCTCAATTCTGGTGTTTGCGAGTTTTTTTAAAAGGCAAAGCTACCACAGGAACCATCAGTAGCAGGTGACATTTTGTAAAAGATGTCTCTATGGTAGCCCCTTCTTATCCAAGACCTCCACTGTACACCTCAAATCATGGGCAGTACACAAACACAAAGTTTCTTCCTATACATAAATACCTGTAATAAAGCTTAACTTACAAATCAGGTCCAAGAAATGAAGAATAATAAATTTAAACTAGAGCAATATACTGTAATGAATATTTTGTGATCTCCCTCTACAAAGAACAAAGACCATACTAGTATTTTGAATCACTGCTGACCACAGGTAACTAAAACCAGAGAGAAGGGGAGACTATGTATACATAAACAACATTAAACACAAACTACAGAACGCTTCTTTCATTAATTCTCTTGCTCCATTTATGCTTCTATTACAGAGCACCACAGCCTAATTTACAAGGAACAGAAATGTGTTCGTAACAGAAATGAACTTCGGAAGCTAGAAGTCCAAGAGCCGGTACTGGGAGGTGAGGCTGTCTGCGGGGCTGCCTCCTCTGTAAGGGAGAGCAGTGCTGCGTCTGCGTGGTAGACGGGCAAGCAGCAAGCCTCCGACACAGGGCCTCCACCTCACTTCCTGAGGCCCTGCTCTTAACCCCGTCACCCTGTTGGCACCTGAACTTGGGGAGGACATCCAAAGCACAGCATTCTTGACCTTAAGTATGAGTTTAGCCATGCCATTTGACTCTGGTTAATCTACCCTCAATGGTGGAAGTAGGATGCTATCTTACTTCAGTGCACTGAGTATTTTCAGAACACCTAGAGATGAGACCAAACTATTAAAACTTAAAACTATTTAAGTCCAAGGAATCCTAACTAGATTTTTGACCTAATAAGTACACCTCAGAATCACTTATCTTTTAGCCTCCTTTTGCACGAGCCCTTGCTAGTCGAGGTTTTTATTACTAAAAGTCATTCTCATGGAGAGCTTACTATATAAATATTCCGTAAGGTCAAAGAAGAAAGCAGATTAGTGGTCTCCTGTGCTGAGGGCAGAGGAAATGAGGGTGGGGTTGTCAGGAGGTGATGAAAATGTCTTGGGATTGACAAGAGCTGGGGCTGTGACTCAGCAGTGGGGTCCTTGCCTAGCAAAAGTAAGGTCCTGGGTTCGATCCTGGGCACCGCAAAAAAAAAAAAAAAAAAAAAAGGCATTAGTGGTGACAGCTGCACAGGCTTGTGAATCTACAAAGTCTTTTAAAATCATAAACTTTAAAAAGAAGGGTTTAATGATGTGCAAATTACATCAATAAAAATTACATTAATAAAAAAGAAAAAAAGTCAGAGGCCAAATTATTTCTGAGAATTCTTTCGTTCTTTGGAATGTTAAAAAACCCACAACACAAATAATTTGCTTTAAGTTTATGATTTTTGTCCCCCTCTTCCTCTTCTATATGAGACAACGATGAGTGAAAGATAATCAGCAGTGAGCTCATAAACTACAGCAGCCAGCTCTGATGTAAGTTAGGCGACTCCATCGCAGCGTGAGGACACCACTGACTTCACTCTGCTCACACAGCTGGGGCACCTTCTGCCGTGACTCTTAAAAACCATCTTACTACTAAATCTGTAATACCTGCAAAATGTGCCTCACCATCAAAGACATCTAACTTGAAGGTTTTAAGATTAAAGATATATAACTAAGTCAAAAGACTACTGGTTTTATTTCCTTAGTTAAGATGTAGGATTTTAGTTTTGACAGTAATGGGATGAAAATGCTACCTGACAATAAATTGTGTATTAGCTTCCTAATAAAACAATAAATACACATAAAACTCATCAATCTAAACCATTCACCTGTCAATATATGTCTGTATTTGTGCTTAAGAAAAAAGAAAGTGAGTAAAGGTCTTCAAACAGGAGTGGAGACTTGTCCTAGACATAAACTTGTGTAAATAACTGAGCTAAGTGTGGCAGCACCTGCCAGTATCTCAACATTCTGGGAGATTCTAGCCCCATGTATGGCTTAGATTAAAATACCCCCTGCAAAGTCTCATCTACATGGAAGATGACTGGATCATGCGGGAACTGCACTCATCTGTGAACCCATCCATTCATGGGTTCAGCAGCTGAATATGTCATTAGGAGGTGGGTCACTAGAGCTGTGTCCTAGAAGGTTATACTGCTGTCCCTGGATCCTCCCCTCTGCCCCTACTTCCTGATCGTCATAAGGTGAAGAGCTATCTTTTGCCAGGCCTTTCTACCGTGCCCTTTTGCCTTACAGGCAGTCAACTAGGGACTGAAGCCTCTAGAAAACATGAGCTAAAATAAAATTCTTTTTTTTTTTTTTTTTTTTTGCTTGTGCTGCTAAGCTAAACCCCCAGCCCTAAAATAAAATTCCTTAAGGTACTGGTGGCAGGAATTTTGTTCCACTGACAAGAAAGTGACTTAGATACCCAGCCTAGGACTCCATCTCAAAATAACAAAATTTTTAAAAGGCCTGAGGGTATGCTCAGGGTACAGGTCCCCTTTAATTCCCAGTCCTCAGTGGAGCGAACAGGGGTGAGGGGGAGAAGACAGGACCTTGGGGAACTGGCTTTCTGTATGCCTTCCTCACTGATGCCTTTATGATGTGTAAGTAGAGACTTTCAATTATGTTAACTTCCAAGTCTATCTGTAAACTATAAAACCAGGAGTTCATGAAGCAGGTATGAATCCTTACAGTATTATCCTAACAGTATGTGCCACTAAATGATTAGAAAAGAGTAAGCGATACTTTTAAAACTCAGTGTATTTCAGCCTGGAGTTTGTCTGTTTATATCCCCAACAACTTAAAGCATCATGTTCTCTTATGAACTTCTATGGTCTTCTATTAACTGCCCAAATGCATTTTGAATTGGACTTGCTTCTACAAAATTGTCAAGTCTTTACGGGGGACCGAGAAATACTGCTGAATATGAAACAAACCAAAATTTATCAAAGGCACACTAGGAAGCTTCACCCTAAATATAGACCAAAAACATACTGAAAAGGAACCCAAGATCCTTCCCCCCCAAAAAAGGAGCCTGTAGTATTATAAATTTAAGAACAAAATGTGTTGAGGAAGATACTCAGATCATCACAGTACACCTGTTTGAGATACATAAAAATGTATCAAGAGAAAGGCATCCAGGACCAGGTGACGAGCTACGTGACCAGCTAAGATTAACTGCCTGCTGAAATGGAGCAGGGAGTCTTGCAGACCTTTTCTTCATAACAAATAACTGGTGCCTAGAAGGTGAGATACTCAGAGGCTGCTCTGTCCATGTTGGAAAGCATGGGTACTGAAAGCATGGTACGAAAGCGAAAGGTACTGAGAGCTGACACCTGTGTGCAGAAGAGAAGGTGGTTAGGTACCCCACAGCCCAGGGATGCCTGGTCTGTCTCCAAGCAACAGACAGCGGGAACCGTGTTCCATAACTCCAGAGCTAGAGATCCCTGAAGAAGGATCTCAAGGCAAATGTTTTTCTCACCTCCCAGAAGAGCTGGTAACCAAGAGCTACAGAGGGCAGCACACAGAGGTACTGTAAAACTTCAGCACACATCTTTACGCACACTCCCACTACTTTGCTAAGGTAACTGACTTAAAAATCAGTTTATTTTACTTAAGGCAAATGAGCCAAATGTTTGTTAAATGACAGACAGACATATTTTGATCAACAGGGCTACCTGGCTTATGACGTGCCTGCTGGATGGAAGAAATGCCACAGCCAACACTTCTCAGGAAAAATGTTAAACAATAAAGCAGCTAAAAATCTGCTGAAATGCCAATGCTATGGCAGGTCAACTAGTGTAGAATGTCAAATTCTAGTATTGTGTCAGCGTAGTCGAAGCAAACAGCTTGGAAAATTAGACTTTACCTGAAAGGTATGCTACTTTTTCCTTCAGAATTGGCAAAACATCCATAGCTTTCATTTCATCGTTTTTTCGAAACCCTGAAATACACAAAGAGAAAATAAAATTACTGGGTTGCTTGTGTGACATTTAAAACCCAATCTATCCAATATCAACACTGCAGTTTTCTCACATCATTAAATAAACTTATAAAACATGATTCCATGAGAACATTCACATTCTATCAAAAGCAGGCTACAATCACGTTTTCTTCTATATTAAGCTTGAGCAATGATCTGAACATACATCCAAAGGCTAGTGTCCCAAAAGACTCAGTCATTTCCAACAACAAAATGTGGCCCCCAAAACCCAGGGTATGAAATTGGTCTCATTTACAAAATCTTTTATTTTAATCTTGTAGATTAATTTACATACCAGAAAAGAAAAGGGTGACGTTGCTTTGTAAGAGCTATTTGTAGCACACTACTCCCTCTAGGGGGAGCCCCACATCTCCTCCTTCGCTGAGACTGTACTGACTGCTTAAAAATAAGCGCCAGCCCAGCAAGGAGAGGGGATCATCAACAGCAGAGGACTGGACCCCACGCCCTCTCTGCATGCTCCTTCCAGGCTTTCTGGGTCATACCCCCTGAGGAAAATCAGTGGGTGATGTGCTGAGGTGGTCCAACGCTGCTCCAGCTTCCAAAGTGGCTAAGATCATTCTCACTTACTGGCTCCTGTCCCCCAAAACCTCCCCAAGGCCATGTAAGAATTTTGCAAAAATGAAGCATGCAGCAGGCAATTTAGGACAAGCTGACATTCATCTCAGCAAATGAATTTTTGCAGCCCAAACATGTCCAGCCCAGCTCACCAGACAAAGGCTTGCTTGGGAATTTGGGGTCAAAAATGTTTATACTCGTAATCCTGCCCTATGGATATTGTGTTGAAGACCCCTAACAGATAAAACTAGAAACTATCATTGTTACTAGCAGAATTATTTCTAAAAAAAAAAAAAAAAAATTAAAAACTGCTTCCTCATTCCCACTTTTCTGTTTGATTTTGGAAAACAGTATAGCAAAGCTTCAGAAATATTAGCTACTGCAAGATGTATAGAAAGCAAGAAAAGTACTAGAAATGAATGGATGTCCCACTTTGAATGTGCCTACGTGACCAGCCTGGACACTAGAAATCTAGAAATATTTTCTCAAAGCATTGGAGAGTGACTAAAAGCAAAGAGATATTCTTGGAGAAAAAGGAAGTTGCAGGGGCCAGGGATTTAGCTCAGGGGCATAACTACCTGCCTGGCAGGTGTGAGGTTGTGAGTTCAAGCCCTAGGATAAAAAAAAAAAAAAAAAAAAAAAAAAAAGAGTTGCACTTAGTCCAGGAACAGGTCCAGGTCAGGCTGTTAAACAACAGCCACACACACACACACACACACACACACACACACACGGCTACCTCAACAGCTGAGACCTTTAGAAAGAAAACCTTTAGAAAGGAGAGGAGGTGCCCCAAATTCTACACATCAACGTGGCCGGAATCACCAGCTTTCCACTGAGCCTCCCTCACATGTGCAGGGCAAGCTCCCACTGATCCTGCTAGATTAAAGATCTGAGTAGCTATCCACTGCAAAGGAGCCCAAATTTATAGTTTGGGTCCAACCAAATCAGATACCTGATAAACAAGCAAATAAACAGAAAAATCAACATCTTTGGCAGAGATAACATAATCCAATCTCTATGACACATCACTCATAGATGTAATGAGTACACATTTTCTGATAGCTTAAAGTAAACCTGTCTGTCCCATGAATACTTACACATGCACACAGAACCAATTTAAATGGGATTTAACTATGGCAGTGACTGTCACCACAGGCTCTGTTGCAAACATACCCTGTTGAGGATCGGAGAGAGCTGAGTAACTCCACCCAGCCAGTTACACACGGCTCAACAAGAGCCAGCCCTCCAAATCACTAAGCCATTTTCCTTTTCCAGTGTACCATGCTTTGTGCTGGCAACCCATCAAGCTTTTAAAACAGTGGCTATTTATAGAATGAAAAACATCCATGCCAAGAGGCCTGCAATTTCATCTCCAGGTTCCCTAGAAATTCTTGAATGGATGCAATCTAATCTCAACAATTTGCTGTCAATCACTGTAATTCACTGAACCACCGAACGTTATCTACAAAGACTGATTCCACCTTGACTCCACTGGTAGACACTGATGGTACCAGAGCAAAACGCAACAGGTGCAACAGTGCTCTCAAAGAAAAAAAGTTTATAAGTTAGTTTAAAACAAGGGCAAATTATAAATTTCTGAAGGAGTGGCACAGAGGGCCAGGGGACCAATGCCAGTGTTGTGGAACCTTTTACAGCTTTCAATGATACAAACAGTGCACTGAGGCACGTATGCCATAGGTGGCCACCACTGACCTACACATATGAAGAGGCAGATCAATGCAACAGGTAATACTGTGGCTGTAGGTCACCCTACAGTATTAGATTAAGAGATGTCTCTTCCATCGCTTGGATGAGAGTACAAGCTTCCTACCATCCCACAAGCCAACATCCATGTGTGTCCGGGTTGGGACATATCAAAATCCCACAACTGTGGCCTGGGCTCTACCCTACAGAAACAGTCAACAATCCCTTATCCACTACCCTTACCTAAAAACATCAATTCTCAACCCAGAGCTAATACCGCAAAAAAGGACTTGTGTGAGTTAAGTCATCATTCCTCAGCATTCCTGACAATTACTGCTAACTTACTGAATCACATTTATTTATTTTACCCTTGGTGGAGTGGATGACAGAGTTACAGCTGTTCCATCCCAGGCCACCCAAAGAAAGACCATCACACAGGTTTGAAAACAAGAATCTCAGCTTTTTACTCCCTGTTATGAGCCACTGATTCACTCTCACTTGACCTTAGCTTTGTGTACTTTCTTAGAGCTGCACAGTCCTTCAGTTTCTCCTTCAAATACAGTAAGACTCACAAAATAAAGGCACCTGGACCAATGACAAATGGGTGTGAAAAGGGGTGCACTTTTATGGTAATACATGTGCATCCCCAAACATAGAGCAGAATATAAATTCTAACCAGTTTTGCTACAATACTTTTATTGAATATGACACAGAAAATACTATTTTTATTAACACTTTCAAGTAAAGCTTCTAAAAAAGAAAATAAAGAAGAGAGGAATGCACTGAATTTGTAGTTACTACAGTGGTTGCCTAAATAGTACCTTAATCTCATTCCCATTAAAAAACAAAACAAAACACATGAAATAAATGACTCAGGAAACATACAAATACTGAAACTGCCTTATATATATCATGTAACTTTCAATAAAAAGCAGGAAGAATTGAAGCATGAAATTTCTCTGATCATGTCTATTCCATCCCATGGGGAGCTATTTATGAAAGCAAAATGTACAGCTATAAAAAAAAGTTTAAAAATTATAAATAAAGGGCTTCTGTGCTATTCCAGTGGTTCTAGATTACACAAAAGATAGACTGGACTCCTAAGGTTTTGTTTACTCCTATATTAAAGGATTTAGAAAGGATTTGGTTGCTAAACTTATTGGAGCAACCACAACCATTTTCTGTACTTCTGACTGTCACCTGGAAGCACAGCCACTTCCACAATCTCTGAGAGGTTAAAGGACAGCAAATGAGCCCAGATCTCAGACCAAGAGTCAGCAACATTTAGACTTCTTTGTACCATCAAGTGGGTTTCCTGATGCCACAGAGGTAAACGGGGTATCACACAAAAATACATAAAATAAAAAATAAATTAGTTAATTAAATAAACTGGTAAACTTAGAGGAAGATAACAGGGTAGAAGAGCAACAACTTGAAAGAATGTAACACAAGTAAATGGTCTGCATCAGGGAGCACTTAGCTGTACCCATCTTAAATTATGTAATTTTAAAATTACATGGGGTCCATAATAAAGTAGGCCGTATTCTTATAACAATTCTTGTTACAGTTTAAATTACATGCCACCATCTGAGATAAAGAAGTCAACATGGGTTTTAATGAAGTGTCAGTTCAAGGGATCCTGCACCCACATCCAGCACTTGATGGATTCTGGGGAAGCATCTCCAGATAGAATGAAGGTCTTTCCCAGCAGAGTTTGAAAAGGCAGGCAGCACTACTCTTTTGAACCCAGCCTAAAACAAGTATGTTCCAAATGTTCACATGATAGAATCTGCATTACTCCAAACCTGCATACTAGTATTTGTTGAAAGGGGAAACCAACAGGGGACAAAAATCAGATTTTATACACTGTAACTAAAAATAGACATGTAAAAAGTGTTCAATGGCTTCAAGTTAAATTTCTGTCCCAAGTGCACACACACACATGATCTTCCTCCAAAAATTTAAATTTACAATTTACCTTCTAAAATACATTCATTTTAAAACCTCACGACACCATGGTTCAGCTTTGTCAAAATTGATTCTGTTATACTTTTAAATTGCTATTTGGGCCATAACAATCAATCTGAGGGTAAATATTAAATACTCAGGCTCTCAGCTCTTTCCTGCTTCTTGAAAAGACACACTATGCTACCCATCCAGCACACAGTGGTTCTCTGCATCCCTCCTCGCCCAACAGGCCAGAAGACAGGGCTGTTTGGTTCCCAAGGTCTAGGACAAGGACAGCCACAGGGTGCTCTGAAATGTGAAAAGGCTGGGCAGAAAAATGAATAAATAGGAGAATAAATAAATGAGCCAACTTGTCCAGCTGAACCCCATTAAGCACCCCAATATTTCTTAGCACTTTTTAGTTTCTATTTGTAAATAAGTTCTGTGTAGGTTAGTTTTCAATCAGTATGATTTACATCTGCAAGAAGGAAAATGAATTGCCTGCCCTCAGAGGAAATATTCCACAAATTATCATTCGACAATGGAAAAGCATTCCATTCAATCAACGATTTGGAATGTCAACTCTCTAATAGCCTACTGGTAAAATCAATTAATCATCTTTATATCCCCAGACCATGGAAGGAGGTGCCGTGCTGTTACTGTTGACAAACATCCTTTTAGTTAGTCACTGATGACCAAACTGTTCATATTCACTTCCATGGCAATAGATA